TCTTTTATAGTAAGAGATCAAATTTTGAAATTAGCAAACTTCTATTTTCAACCATGTACCGCTCGGATTTTATAGGAAAATAACCATGTATATGTATTGTGGATAAAATATTCATTCATCGTTTCTTTATTTTTGTTTATTAAATTATTTTTAGAATCATTGTCGTGTTCGCGTGCAACGTATACTTTCACTCCAGGCATTAATTAATGAAGTATGTGATAGTTTTCAACAAGATTGTCTAGAGAAAGTTCCCTCTTCTTCTAAAGGAGTATTATATCAGCATTGAGTGGAAAGTATTAAATTGCAACCATATCTTCATCAGGCAATTAAATGAATTTCATTTTATAATTAAATGTAATCGCTATTCAGACCTCCGGTCTAAATACATAAAGCAATATTATTTCAAAAGGTCTAGTAAGTATAAATTTGTTCAATTACTCAAAATCGAAAACACAAAAGAACTTAATAATCTAGGAAAGAGCAGATTTATTAAGAGGTCATCACTAGAACAGGTCATGTTAAGATACATGTTGTATATCAGTTTATTGAATACAAATTATGTAATATACCATTATATTGATAAGTCTTGTCTGGGTGAATGAGGGTGAAAAAGGTTCTGGCGTGTGAATGAATGTGAGTATGATGAATGACGAATGATTGCTGCTGCTGTTGCTGATATGATGAGGAGGAGGAGGAAGAAGATGATGTGTGCGAGTTAGTGTGTGTGAGTGTGTAAAAAAATACTGTTGATGGAAGGAACGATGATAGCGTTAATTTGACAGTCTGTATGGTTTTGTCTACAGTGTGGATATTCGTCTACTTGTAATGGAAGACTAATATTTAAGTGAGATTGAATGCAGCTATTGTACATAGAAAAACCATTCAGCACTGGAAATAACTTCTAAATATCTGCGATTCTGTATAAAATTTAATACTGACTCGCCAAATTTGAGATAATAATAAGTCATAATTATTCAAGAGTTTTCAAAATCGGAGAAATTCATGAAGATTTTTTGGAGACTGTCTGTGTTTAGTTTTTTCAACGAGCACATTTTCTAATGTCACACTTATAAAGTACCCTATCTGACGTCATAATCATTAAGTACATTTTCTGATTTATCATATTTATAAAGTTCCTTTTCTGATGTCACACTCATTAAGTACGTTTCTCGATGTCACACTTTCAGGATAGGGCTAATATAAGTAAATGTGTGCTGCCTTATAATTTTGATTTTTTTTTTTTTTAAATCACACACCAGAAATAGTGAACCACAGACAATGATTTAAACTGTTACAAATTCATGAAAAAAATCATCCGCTTTTAATTATACTACTTAACAAATGGTTCCATGTTTACCTGTTTTACTAAAACATTAATACAATATTTTAACAACACTTACAGGTTATTGATTATTTTTATTTCAAAATCCTGAACTCTGTATGCTTTACAACATTTCCGAATAATAATGTAAAGAAAAACGGATACGTACATCCTCAATCGCCGGTAAATCACCTCAGATGTGTCAATGGACTTGGACGGGGGGGGGGAGAGAATGAAATATTGATAGGCGTGTTACCAGGATGAGATGCTCTAAATAAAATAGAATCGTTTGAATAGATTTGAAAAAAAAACTTGTAGCTAATGCATGGTTTGTTGTTTATCAAGGTACCATATAGTACAATACCATTTCAATGCATTCACTTTCCCACACCATATGTAATATAACTCACTCGTGTCCATACACAAGCTCCAGTAAACAAACAAACAACCCGGTCTTCTTTTTACACAAGCTCCAGTAAACAAACAAACCAAGCAGTCTTGTTTTTACGGTGAACGTCTACAACGGCTGACAGCTGGTACGTAACCATGTCTAAAACAACACGCAGACCTCAGTCCCACCCCTGTCCCGCCTTCCCCCGGCCCCTCATCACCTATACCTATCAGGGGAAGTTAGTTACATTCTTCTTGCCAATAGATTGAAGTTTAATCTTGTTTATTTATATCTAAATATATGTATATGCTATGAAATATTGAACAGTAACGAAGATTGATGAGAATTGGTATCTTCAAAAATAAAACAAAACCAGACCTTTTGAAAGTCTAATTCGCTCACATGGACATACAAACGAAGTTTACAGAAATCTGTCAGTGTTTTCCAAAATCTTTCTCCTCTCAAAAAACTTTGACACCGTAAAAGACAAGTGATAAATACACCAAACGCACGGTTGACAGTTATAGTTATTTTGCACATTTATATTTTTTCCCCCCAATTCCTAAATATTTTAGTGTAACAGATTTGTAAGATAATAATACACGTATTAAACAAAAGCATAAGATAGCAGACTGTATCAGGCTTCCTTTTATATATCATATCAAAATATAAGTTTAAAAAACATTGGGGAAATAAAAAAAGGGAAACAGATGATAAAAGGTTTATTGTAGCTTATTTAAAAGTGTGATAGTGTTCACTAAAAATGTCGGAAGGTGACTTTTAAACCAGTTTAACCTTTTTAATTAAAAGACATTACCACCGTATAAACAAAATAACTACAGAGAAAAAGGTATTTGTATTGTTTTAACAAATTTTATTATATATATAAATTAACATGTATAAATGGATAAGATAACAGGCTAGGCCTTTATCAATCTTCTCCATGATGGTGTAAGTATGATATTATATATATACATGTAATTAATAAGCTATTTATATTATTGTATTCAATTCATACACTCAATCATACATTAATACAATTAACTACTTACACTCACTATACACACTCGTGTCAATACTCATTCACTATATGATATTTACAATATTATCTAAATTGACCAGAAACTATCAACAATTATGATTGAGTTAGATTAATTACAGTAAATAATTCATTTAATTATATAAACATGCAAAAAAACTCATACATAATAGTTTGATAATATTTAAACATTTAGTTACATCATCCTAACCGTTTAGATGCATTGGTGTACTTTTCAACATTAGACAATATCAGTATACAAATGTATGTATTTCAGAAGGTAAGTCAGTACTTCTGGATGTCAAAAGTTGAACATTTAAGTATCCAACTCTGGTATAAATATCATGGATTAAGTTCCTGGAATTAGAGTAATTAGGACAAGTGAAGAAGAAGTGTTCAGAATTTTCAATTGGATGACCACATGAACAGGAAGAATCAGGAGATAGATGGTCAGCAAATTTGTCATAGTTTAAGTCACTGGCATTATTTCTAAGTTGGCAGAGGATAACATTTAACGTTCTAGGGCTACAATTTAGAAAAACAGAAGTAATATTTACAAGAGGGATTCTTTCATTATTCAATTTAGATTTGAATATATTTAATGATGATGCTGAGATTATTTCAGAATCAAGCGAATTCCATATTCTCATGACATCTGGAAAAAAACTATTACCAAATAAATTAGATCTAAAGCGAGGAATATTAAAAAATCTGTGTTGTCTAAGATTATGAGGTGGAACAGCATCATTAATATAAGGTTTAACAATGTCATGTAAATATACTGGTGTCATGTGATTAAGGATTTTAAACATTAAAATAAGTTTGTGTTTATGACGCCTAGAAGAGAGCAGTTCAAACCCAGTTTCAGAATATAGTTTCTGATGTGATGTTCCACTTCGTAATCCAGTTATTATTTTCATGGCCTCAATTTGTACAGATTCTTATAATTTCGCTTCGCAAACAGTGCAATTGTTCCAAATAACATCTGTATACTCAAGAATAGGTTTTACATAAGAATAATATAGTGTTATTAAAGCATTTCTGTCAACTTTGTATTTGAGTGTTCTTAAAATATTCATTTTTTTTGCATGCTTTTTCATAGATTTCTTGGATGTGATTACTCCAGAAACCTTTGGAATTGAAGAAAAGACCTAAGTGTTTATGATTAGATATTTCATTTACTATTTGATTGTTAAAGAAAAGTGGAGGATGATTTCGGTTGGGTTTTTTGTAACAGTTAATGCAACAGTTTTTTTATCTGGATTAAATTTAATTTTCCAATGGTTAGCCCAATTACTAATAGAGTCAAGATCTTCATTTAAATCCATACATGGAGCAACCACATCTTCATCAACAATTACATGGGTTTTTTTCAGCGCATTCGGAGATAATTATCAATTCTATTTTAAAACATCTGGGTTTTTTCTGTTTGTCCTTATATCTTCAAGAATTAAGAGAATATCCGTATAACGATAAATTAAAACTGATCTTAAATGTAGTGAGTTTATCATCAAGTCAAAATAAAAAATCATGCGTTTTTAAGATATTTTACTTTTTTTTAATTTAAATGATTATGAAAAAATCAATAATCGATTTGGCTAGAAGTGATGTCCCATATCACAAATGGTGACATATGATGTAGTCGTGTCTGATGTATGTTTATTTCAACCGATGAATGTATTTCAATCAGTGCCTTTAAACAGTCTTTTAAGTTGATATTAAAATTCAATGCAACAGAAAAGAAAAACAATCGCCATAATTATCAGAATTCATTAATAGTTGTTGAAATTTTTAAATGTGTTATTAATCGCAAACAATAATGAAATCTACAAAGTAACTAGGGCAGTTTATCACCAATGAACGACTTTAATTAACAACAATCGATTCAATTTGTTCTATACAGGTAGAGTTTTGATATTTAGACAACATCCCTGGATGAAAGCATTCATAATACGTTTGATATTCCACTTTGGACAATTACCGCATATGTTATTTTCACCTGTTCAAAGCATAGAAATTAAAAGCGTATTAATAGGCTCGATAAGTAACAAACCAGTAGATCTGGTAAGGATAATTGTCCACTAATTAGATTTTATAAAAAGGTACCGACAGGTGAACATGATGTGTCCAAGCCCATCTCAGCGCCACGCCCATTGATACTGTGGGGCGGATCGGTCCGTCCGGGCCTACTAAAACAATACAGACCTTATTGGGAGGTCGCAGACATCAGGTGAGCTATTCATTAAGGTGCCGTGTTGTACAAACACTCATTTGTTTATACTACTCGACATATCTGACTGCGTTGAGAAACAATGTGGTGTCTTTACCTCTAATTTGTGATTACAACTGTCGGTCGGGTGATCGAAGGTGTCAAAATTTAGTGAATGGTGTTTACGGTAAGAATCAGTAATTAGAACCTATGTTATAAGTCTTACATTCAAACGTAACAAGCTCATAACAGCTTATCTTCTCCGAGGTGACGCACGCGCTTACATATTTCATAAAGTTCCCTAGAATAAGGCCACTGGCATTCGAGCTTTGACATCTTCGAACGGAGCCAACCCTGACGTAGTAAAACAACATTTCGTGAGGGAATCATTCGACAACAAACTTTTAGAAAGTTGATCAGTGTTATATCAACATTATCGACGGAAATCACGGGATTTTTACCTTGTAATCAAATCTGGAGACAAAAACGAACAAAATGGTTCACGAGAGTGGCACCAATTCACTGTACAAAAAGCAAGCGTTTACCATCGAGAGCTTAGCAAAGAGTAGCCGGGACGAGAGTCCTAAAGAAGATATAACACCACCGAGAGGTGAGCCATTATTCCGCGGCATCAACAGGAGTCTGGAAGGAATCACGTTTGGATGTATACCTCAATTCTCTCTGACCTCACCTAACCTTGACCGTCTGACCCCCGTATCGGATCCGGGGTACAAGTCGCTAAACAGCACACCATCTAAGTCAGAGGATGTTCCGTCCAAACGCCGTCGCTGCAGTTCCGGAAGTGACGAGGCGCCAAACAGAGCTATACCCAGCAACAGTAGCAGCACCAGTGACGTCAGCTTTGACTCCATCAGTCCATATACGTCCGGTAAGTTATATTTTCAGCGTTAAACAAATCTGGCAAGAATTATATATTTGACATACAAAGTACATTGTACGTTATTCACTCTGCAATCCTGATTCATTACTGATTCATTACACATTTAAATTATTTATACCATGGAGGTATGGATGGGACAATTTTATTTAAGAAGAATAGTTTGACGAAATCGTACAGTCACGCAGAAAATGTCAATCAATAGATTTGGACTATATTTATGGTGTATATAGAACTCATTGAGGGTTAACCGGCTGTGCATTGAACCTCTGGATCAAAATTTGCTGTAACAAAAAAAAAGTTTTTAATCAAACAATTTTATATTATATATCGTTCAGGCAAGGTTATATTTGCTCTAGGGATGTCCTTTCTCTTTTCAATTTCCAAAATATAAGTTCTTTGCAATTCCGGTAAATTAAATGCCTAAATATAACATTTAAACTTTGAAACATTTATAAAGGCTGCGTGGTTAATTCAGTTCACCAAATCAAGACCTACAATCTATAAAGAGTTTTTTTTTATATAAATTTAATGACAACATACTCTGTATACATCAAACATTACGTCATTACCGAGTTAACGCCCAATATTTATTGACGCTTCTAGACGTTTCGGCATTACAAGCTTAGATACTTAGGATAAGACGAATCGAAAACTCCCCAAAGTGCAACACAACACACATCAAATATGGGGACGGAAAGGCGCCAAATATTGAAAAAGAAGCAAGCAAAAAAACACCATTTACATAGAACAGTGAATAATCCCAATTTGACCCCAGTGCAGTTTTAGACATACTTGCTTCGCTTTATTATTTTGTTTTACTTAATATGTATCTAAATGTATTTTGACAGACACTGACGCCTGTTCAGATGACCAGAACCGGAGGAAGAAAGCCCGCACGGCATTCTCTAGCGAACAGGTATATGGCCTAGAACAGCGCTATCAGATACAGAAGTACCTACCTTCATCAGAGAGGAGTAGGCTGGCCAAGAAACTCACCCTCACAGACCAACAGGTATTCATATACTAAGTTGTTATAATACTTCTAATTTATTTGTGTTACAATAAATATTCTCGGTTTGAAAATAGTACCAGATATCCAACCGGAAGTTCAAAAATGAAAACATTGCATGACACAAAAACGTTGATAGAAATGGTAAGTGATTAACTAATAGGGACAGTACCTTCAAGATTCAAGATTCAAGAAGCTTTATTTAACGTCGCATATACATGTCACATAATAACATTAGCACTGTAGTGCTATTCTTGCGACAAAACATATATAAAATTTAACAAGGATCACAGTACTTATGAATAACTATAAAATCAGGACAACAATTCAAATTAGATATGCTAAAATTATACAGTAGAGCATATAATATCACACTTGTATGTTGCACAAGTGTTATGGAAGACAAGTTAAGACACTATATACTAGTGTAATGTACATATATGCTAATGTAGGTACCTGTGGTGAAATTCTGATACAGATGTATGTTTCTTATTCTCTTCTTACTGTGAAATATTGATTACAGGACAGCATTATGGTTTTATTTGTAACATTAGTTAAATGTTGGACAGCCAAAGATTGAGGTAGTAACAAAATAAACCACAGTCTATATAAAACGTTTTGTTCGGTTCCACATGTACAAACATGCATGTATACAGCCATTATTTGTTTAGTTCAGAAAAGTGTTAGTAAAATCATCGTAAACAATCCTATTTAGTCTAATGTAACACGACTTCTAAAGCGGAATAGGTTCTACAAAATAAACCAAGCAATTGATTTCATATCAACTAATCTTGTTTCAGGTTAAAACATGGTTTCAAAACAGACGAATGAAAGAGAAGCGCCATCAACGGGATGAAGAACAGGCGCGCAACTTTTATCTACCGACAGGTGGCGTAGATATCGCACAACTACACGCGATGGGGTTGCCATGTCCTCCGCCCTACAAGGTCCAGTCTCCGACTGTTGGACACATGTTCTCGTCTCCTAGCAACAACGCACTGCCGGGATACCAGTTTCATTCTCCGGTGCATATGGCGTCGTCTTCCAATGGACAAGACCGTCTTCAAATGCATCCTAGTTATTTGGGATATTCACCGATTATGGGATCGCTACCTATGTTTCCTAGACAATCCGCGATTTCCCGGCATGCATCTTCGGTACCAACACCATTAACCAGCACACCCGTCTCAAAATCGCCGACGTATATATGTGAGACACGGGGACGTTCTCCAGCATGACGTCATTTGTTATAAAAAAGGACTAAGTTCAAATATATTTACATATGTTATCATATTAACGTATGATTGTTATTTATTTTGTTATTCAAGTTAATGACGTTATGGATATTGTTGATGGTGCCAAACACTGAAGAGCGAAAGCTCTTAAATAAAATCGAAATCTTTAAATAACGTGTCATTTCATGTTTCTCGCTGTACTTAAACTAGGATGCTTTCAAATTTTGAATTACTGCAACTTAGACGAGAATGCTCAGAAATCATTGATGTATGCGGTGAACACGTGGTGACCCTCTACAAATCGAGATGGCTGCCAGGTGTGCACATTGAGAGCAGCCATCTTTGATTTCCACAATCCACGTTTGTACATCGCTAACAAGTACCCAAAATATCTTTCTCGTAACTTCGTATTAAGGTTCCCACTTTTCTCCCTAGACATGTATATTTTAATTTGAGACTCAGCTGGAAAACAAGATGGCTGCCAAACAGGAAAGTTCGTGGAATTGCTTATTATGAAAAGTGGAATCGAACAAAAAAATAGCCGCAAGATGGGGACGAGGCACCAATGGCGTACTGAAAAATTCATGGCAAAACCAGAAATTCTGAAAGATGGGGTCCATTATTTTTGTGTGTTTAGTCCTCGCGGAAACGGTTCGCGTGCGAGCAACAAATGCTGGTCAGAAATCAATATCTCCATTTGATGGGACGGAGCTAGATCGAACGTTCTCAATATATAGCTAAGGGTCTCTATGAAAAAAATCTCAATTTACCCGTAAAAGTGCTCTGGTACAATCTGATATTTATATTTTCATTTAATACAAAAAAATCTGTTGTTTTAATATTGCTTAAAAATGTTTACCACAAAATAACGTCTAGAGGAAACATAGGAGATAAAGTTCTGTGGTTTAGTGTTTTTAGAATATCATTAAAGTTATGTTTTTCTTTTTTTGGGCTTATAATTTTCTTACTTTATTCAAAAATGGCATCTAAACCAGGATTAAAATGCCTAACTGTTGTTTTATATATATAATTGTATATATAAATCAAGGGTGACATTACGTCTAGTAATCGCCAAGCAGAGAGAGAGGCAATTAATTTCCCCCTCCCCCTCCACCTCCACCTCCGTTCCCTACCCCCATCATTCAACCCCGGCTTAGGGTTGCTTCTAATGTCACCCACCGTTAGTGGAAACAAGACAATCATAGGCCGTATTCTAGATATGATAGATGGCTGATGTAACAAAGTTGTAGCATTAGGCTTTTAACAAACAAGAAATAAATCCAAGATGCGTATTTTATAAGTGTAGATACATGTAAGTCGTAGTCCACGAAGATAGAAAAGTAGAAGGTATATGAAATAAAACAGGTTCAAAAACAGTCTTTGAAAGCCAACAGAGGATTTTGATATGTTTTCCGATAAGTCTTTATATATATACCCTACACAAGAAAGTGTCGAATCCTGCGATAAAATATAGATGTGAAGACATATTGTATACTAGCTCCTCATTTTGTTAATTGTTTACTCGCGAGAAACATTGTGTGTGTGTGTGTAATTTCCTTATGCGACACTCCAAATCTTTTTTTACTTTAGTAGCTTTGAAAAGGCCGTCGCTATTACCACCTGAGTGTCAAATAGCCACTGCCGCTATTGACACCCCGGGCATCTTCTCTGGAAAGCGGTTACCGGGTGTAAGGTTCCGGATATAATCAATATCAATTTTTACGTCATTTTTGCACCTTTGTAATCATAAGTTCACATAAATTTTATTCTGTAATTTCATGTACATTACAAAGTAATGCCAGCTTAATAATATTATTATTTTATTCAATGTTATTTCATCGACGCATTAGTTTAATTGCGACTAATAAATGTTCTACCATAAATGTTCTACCATAGGAAATCTGGAAAATACTGAAATTTAACAAAAAAATACTATTTTTTTCAACCAGTGCACCGTTTTAAAGTCATACAAAGTCTGAGAAGATAACCAGGTATCTTTCTAGGGAGAAATTTGACAATTTGCAGTTTTTGTAAAATTTGATATTTTTTTCCAGTATTAGTTGGTATATTGCAACTTAAAATAGCGAGATTTCAACTACTTTCAGACTAAATATTAGTCTGTAAAGTGGAATAAGTGTTAAGTTTGAAGATTTAGTTTCTAGGGTAATTTGATTATTTTCCACCTTAGGAATGGGAACAAATTTAAATGATGAAATTTGAGAAAATCACATTTTACCAAAATATACTTTATTTTCAATTAGTGCAAATTTGCAGTATACTGTTTCAAAGTGATACAAAGTCAGAAAAGATATATCCAAGTAACATTCTGAGGAAATATTAGACAATATGCAGTCTTGTAAAATGTAAAATTCGAGATTTCGAGATTTCAACTAAATTCAGACTGAATATTTTCCGTTAACTGGAATAAGTGCTGGAGTTGAAAATATTTAAGAATATTTTGTTCCTTGAGGAATTTGACTATTTTCCAACATTTTTTCTAAATACATTTTTTTTTATCGAAAACAGCAGATTTGTAGTATCACTGTGTTTTATAGTCATAAAAGATAATAAAAAGATGAAATATCTTGGGGGGATATGAAAATTTGAGTATTTTATAAAATAAGATTTTATATTTTTCAGTTTAGATTTTGATATTGCCACAGTTACCTTTTAAAACTTGAAATCCTGACATTTCAACAGATTTCAAACTAAATAGTCGGCTGTTATGTAGAATTAGTGTTAGATTTGAAGATACATCTAAATCTTTCATTCCTGGGAGAATTTGAATATTTTTCCACCCTAGAAATTGTGGTGGAAATGTTGAAATTTGAGGATAATCAACAAAATTTGAAATCCTGACATTTTAACTGATTTCAGACTAAATATTTGGCCGCTTAGTAGTTTTTGTGTTAAATTGGAAGATACATCTGAATATTTTGTTCCTGTGGGAATTGGACTATTTTCCATCCTAGAAAATACAGGAAATGATAAAATTTCAGAAAATTAATATTTTTCCAAAATATACTTTTTTCAATAAAGTGAAGATTAACAGCATTGCACTTGTTTTTGACATGCAAAGTCATAGAAGATAACCGAATCCTTTCTGAGAAGAAATTAGAAGTTTTTGCAAAATTATAGGATTTTGTTTTAATTTTAGTTGGTATATTGCCGTTTGTTTTTCTTGATAAAACTTGAAATTGTGACATATCAGACTAAATATTTGGCTGTTAATTTGGATTATTTTGAAATTTGGAGATAAATCTCAAGTATTTGTTTCATGTTTGAAATCGCCTTTTTTGCTTCCTTAGGAATGTGTTAAATGCTGAAATTTGAGAGAGAAAAATCAATATTTTTCCTAAATACCAGTACCCTTTTTTCCCCCCGAAAACAGCAGGGATTTATCATATCGTGGTATGATTGGACATAACGAGTCATCAACAGTTACAAAAGCAGTTTTCTGAGGGGTATTTTGAAATGAATTATTTTAAAGTCTGAGTTTTTTGCATCTGATGAAAAACCTTGTATTCTTATATAACTTGAAAGCATGACCATTTAGATGATTTCAGACTGAATATTTATCTGTTAAGTAAAAAATAATGTTAAGTATGTAGATGTATCAAAATATTTTATTCCTGGAATTTCAGATAAAGCAAATATTTTTCGAAATGATTTACAGTTTTATTGTCATTCAAAATCATAGAAGATAACCAAACTAACTTTCTGGGAAGATTCTTGATTTTTGTTGTTGTAAAACTGGTGTGTGGTTTTTTGTTTGTATTAGCTGGTGCCATACTTGATAAAATCACTACATTTCAATTAGTTTCAGACTGAATATTCGGTCATTTTATAAGTTAAAATTTGAAGATTTATCTGAATATTTTGTTCCTGAAGGAATTTGCCAATTTTCACCTTATGATTTTTTTTAAGGAAAATCAATATTATCCAAAATATTTTTCTGTCTCTAAAAACACTGAAAATTTACAGTATTCGCTGTCCTATAGTGGAACAAAATCATTGGAATGACTATAAAAGCTTTTAAAGAAACATTTTAATTTGATTTATATTTATATACTGTAAGATATTATCACGGATCTAAGTCCAGATATTATGTATATTCATATATATGTCACTAATGCAAGGAGCAGTAAGGCTACCATATCAAAAAAACAAACTGCCGTACATTAGGTTTGAGAGTGTACACTAAAATCACAAAAAAACATGCTCATAGTTTACTTTCATGAAGCTGTAACTTTCAACATTTTGCTGTAACATTATATTGCTTCTTATAAAAGCAAACAAATGCACAACGATATCTCGGAAAAGTCGACCATGACAACAACATTACGTTACGTCAACGTAGTTTTCCATGTCATGTTTACTTTACGATACTGCGAATTTCAAAACAAATACGGAAATATATCACTTTTATAAATGATTTTTCAGCTTAGATTTAAATGATATAATGACAACACGGCAAAACAATAGAAATGCCGTTTTCAAACATTCCGCTATCCTAACAACTATGCATCCTCTTACTCGGCCATTCATATTTTATTATACTTTTGTTATCATTGTTATCGATTCAGTAATTGGACCCTTAGGTCTGTTGAATCGAAATCAATAAATAAAATAAGATTCGGAACACCTAGAAACAACGAATTATAATTTGTAATAATAAGTAACTAATCACGTTTCCTAAGTGTATATACTGATACACATTGTTAAATTAAGTCAATAATCCATTCACTTAGTTTTATTTTGAACAAAGCTTACATTTTCGTTCTTAGTCCTATCCGGATATGTACAACCGTCTACGCACAATTACTATCGCCACATGAAAATTTTCCATAAATCCGCCACCCGGCATACTGTTTTTTGCTTATCTAGCCCGGGTGTCAAATACATATTTGCTTTATACGTCTCTGCTTTACGGTTTTAATGTATCACACGTGAAAACAGTATTTTCTCACTGGATATCAAATTGATTGTGTGAATTCGATATATTGGAGTTTTGCCGTGCTTTCATTGGTGATTTTTAAAGCCATATATATCGTATTACACTTTAATTATAGAAAACTCCTTATTTCTAGTATAATTTCATAAAATCTATGTTTATATCACACTTATACTTTCAGATATTTCAGTAATTGAAAACATCTCGTAAAACATAATTAATCTGTAAAGAGAAAAGGTATCCAGATATCATAAAAAAGGCTTAATTTGATACAGTTGTCTCCCTTGATAACTCACCTGCCAAGAATGTTTGACACTACTGGCGCTTAGGCCAGGTATGACCTCATTTAGCACTGAATCACTCCGCGTTTAAATGACGGAGTATGAAACTTAAAACATCGCGGTAATTATCTTATTCGCGTGGAAAACACTCTCTTAACAATATTCTTCAAATATATTGTGCAATACAAATGTGTTAAACAAATAATTGTATTTTATATCTTTAATCTAAATTGGAACTATATTTTATCTACCTGTATTCAAACGATACAGGTGCGATGACTAACTAGCGGAAGTGAAGTAATGTAATGGCGACCTAAGTTGTTGTTATTCAAGACCAAGATGAAAACAGTACTTTGGTCTCTGTTTTTGCTAGCGTCACCGATTTTACAGGTGTCTGGGGATGTGTGTAAGTATACATTCATAATCAACCCATCTATGCATTGATTGATCCCCTAATTAAAGTAAAATGCGACAGGTAAACATGAGACAACCCCCAACCCCCCCTTCCCGAATTTTGAACAGCCTCACCCTATAATGATTACTGTTATTGCATTGTACATTAACTGTGTCGTTCAAAAGACGATATTATGATTAAGATACAGTAAAATGCAAATGTTCACCTGTACATATATTTAGTAGTAGTCGAAAACAAATAGCACGTTTTGGCAGGTGAGACTCTGCACATTTCTATATCCGCATTCAATCTATAATATTATAGGAAATGTACATTTCTGTAACAGATGATATACCGGTTTTTTTCATTGTTTATCATAACAATTATTCTTTATATAGTTACACAGACAGAATTTAGCGGTATTCAGTTTGAGTGTTGATGTTTTTATGTACATATCATATAAGCTGTGTGTTGATGATAAAGTACAAAGTATTGTATACTGTTTGACTTGTTATTTTGTATACAGCAGACACAGGTGAGAACAAGTGTTGTTTAATATGATCTAACTTGATGTTGTGATGAACCTCACCTGTTAACATGACTTTTTAATGCCTCCATTCAATAATCACCAACTTTACAGAATCCTGAGTACTTTCAACAAATTTGAACACCCTGTTACAGAATATTCTAATAACATTTGCCCGCATTTCCTAACAATCCCCTTCCAACCAGCTCAGAGACATTTCTGTTGAATGATATCTGTTTGATAGAGAAAGTTTCTTGTTGCTATATATATATTATGAAAAAAATGAACTATGATTTTTCAATATGTCATAATTTTTCCAAATTTAAGGAAGATGAAATTTACAAAAAGCACAAACTCCATATTTTCTCGTTATATGCTTGACAAATGGTGGCTTTATCACATGGTTTAAGCTTTACATTTAAACCTTCTGATGCTAAAACATTTGGAAATGAACACCAAGAATTGTGTGGATCCTGTTTTGTGTGATACACTGTTACAGTCCTGTCACCCCATTAACTCATTCACCCCTGAAGACACATTTGAACTCTTCCAATTCAAAGGTTGGAATAGTTCATTATGGAATTTCAGGAGTTAATGGGTGTCATGTCAAATTTTTAAAATATTATCAGCATACGTAGCCTTCTACAAAGGCAGAATTTTGATTTTTGAATAAAATTACCCCAAATTCTTGGAATTCTTTTTTTTATAAAGGACAGCATTAATTCTGAACTTTGTAACAAATGTAAAATCTACGAAGACTAAATTAAATTTACCACCAGGTATGCAAAATAATCTGTCTGTTTCGCTTGATATCTCGCCTGATATGTTATTTTGAAGAAATAAACAATAACATTTAAAAAATAAGAACATTGATTGCTAAATAATTGTGTGATTTCTTACATTTTCCAAAGTTTCAGCTATGCATTAACGAAATCTTTAAACATGCATGCAGTTAATCAAAAAGAGAGAATCAAATCGTGTAATAAAAAATTACATCTTTTTATGAATTATATTTGTCTTAAAAGAATGAAGACAAATCATGTTTTAAGTTTATTGGAACTGAAATGGTAAGCTGAACCCGAAGTAAAGCTTATATTTGCAATAAACAAAGGAAAATGTTGAAATTATGTGTTACCTTCAATTTAATCTTCATTATGAAAGTAATTCTTATGACCAAGAAAAAACACATTGTGCTATATATTGATTGAAATGTATTGCTATGCTTGATGTGGTTGTAAATACTAATATGAGTTCAAATTTAATTTGTGTTTAATTATAATACACATGCATGCAAAAAATGAATCACTTAAGGAATGAATATGTATATTGTGTAAGTGTGTTGGCATGCTGGCAAAATGTTTTGCATACGTTTGGCCTTGTATCATCATGTTCTATCATCACTGACTTTTTCCTAACAGAATGAGATGATTGGTCTGTAGTAGTTTTTGTATTGCAGTGTTTTTTGTGTTATTTTTTCCTGTGAATCCTGAAAGTCTTTCTAAACATTTTGATGAGTCCCATTACCTAAAAGACAGAATGGTTATGGGTCCTCAAAAAATTGATAAGTCCCATAGAAAAGTATGAGTCTAGGACTTGCACTGATATCAAATCAACTCTGATATATAATTATATTGAATGAGAAAGTGTATTCTTTTGAATTTGACGATCATGCACACCAGTTCATAGTCTTGGTGTCAAGCCTTTATGATAACATCACATCAAGTAAAAGAGTTGTTTCCCCTGTTTGATTTTGACAGTTTTGCGATGGTGTGTGACGAACCGTGCGGAGGAAACAAAATGTCAGGCTTTTGAGGTTGCAGTGGCTATGCTGAAGGTGGATGGGACCTACACAGGGAATGTTGTACCGTCCTGTGTAAAAGGAGTTGATAGGTGGGTATAGTCGGGGACTAATATAACAAACATCATCTGGTTTTTTAATTGAATTGATTTTTTTGGGGAGAAAATTTGGATCACAATGTTTTCTGTTTGAGCACTTAAAATCTTAAAATTTAATAACTTGAGATAACAATAACTCTAAGATAATAAACAAAAATACTTTTGATTCTGTTAAATGTCTTGGGTTTATAAGAATAACGGAAGCTATACATATTACAGCCAATAAAGTTACACATAGAAAGAAATATGTAACTCAGAATATAAGCTGTATTGACTGAAAATTTTAACATGTTTTGAGATTTAGAATAGTCAGAATATTGAAACATGAAACCTTAATGCGTTGATTTTGTCTAATTGACAGTTATGAGTGTATGAGACTGATCCAAAGTGGTGATGCTGATGTCATGGCTCTGGACACCGGTCAAGGATACTTCGCTGGTCACCAGCACAACATGATGCCCTTCCTGGCGGAGACCTACAGATCCCAGTCTTTGCACTACTACTCGGTGGCTGTGATCCGATCCAACGATCTGTCTCTCACCATCAACAACCTGAGGGGGAAAAAAGTCTGCTTCCCAGGTAAGTCATCAACCAGCAACAGATCTGTTGGACGGTGTAATACACGGAGGGATAAAGGTATATCAACACGTAGGAACAGTTCAATAACTTAAATGCAATCTACGTTTTGAATCATCGGGAACTCTACGGAATCTGTTTTACTGATCCACCTAGAAATATACCAGATTTCCTCCATTAGGACTGAAATATATAATGTTATGTTGTTATTTTACTGGAGACCTACATGTACACAGAGAGAAATGTTCTCTTATAGTGCTGTCTGGGAGAAATGCCATAATACATTCACTTGATCAGAAAATATTTTTTTCACATCAAAGCAAGTCAACATGAGATTGTATCAATACTGGCTTTTCAGCTTATGATTGCAAACTTCAATGTAGGATTTACATTAACCCTTTCTCCCCTATATAACCTAATGAAACTCTACTATGCATTGGTCTGGATGAGTCCACTAAGGTCTACAGAGGTGAAAGGGTTAAAAACAATGATAGAATAATTCCAAAACACAAGTATGGTATCCCAGAGTCCATTGTGTAGTACGGGACACATATACTATACTAAGTAGAAGTATTTATCACAAGGTACCAGTTATTATAATTAGATCTTCCAAGTTAACATGTGATAAACTTATATAAGCACATATATAGACTAACTATAATGTTGATGTTATACAGGTATTGGTATGGGATCAGGCTGGGTTATATATATAGACTAACTATAATGTTGATGTTATACAGGTATTGGTATGGGAACAGGCTGTGTTATATATATAGACTAACTATAATGTTGATGTTATACAGGTATTGGTATGGGAACAGGCTGTGTTATATATATAGACTAACTATAATGTTGATGTTATACAGGTATTGGTATGGGAACAGGCTGTGTTATATATATAGACTAACTATAATGTTGATGTTATACAGGTATTGGTATGGGAACAGGCTGTGTTATATATATAGACTAACTATAATGTTGATGTTATACAGGTATTGGTATGGGAACAGGCTGTGTTATATATATAGACTAACTATAATGTTGATGTTATACAGGTATTGGTATGGGAACAGGCTGTGTTATATATATAGACTAACTATAATGTTGATGTTATACAGGTATTGGTATGGGAACAGGCTGTGTTATATATATAGACTAACTATAATGTTGATGTTATACAGGTATTGGTATGGGAACAGGCTGTGTTATATATATAGACTAACTATAATGTTGATGTTATACAGGTATTGGTATGGGAACAGGCTGTGTTATATATATAGACTAACTATAATGTTGATGTTATACAGGTATTGGTATGGGAACAGGCTGTGTTATATATATAGACTAACTATAATGTTGATGTTATACAGGTATTGGTATGGGAACAGGCTGTGTTATATATATAGACTAACTATAATGTTGATGTTATACAGGTATTGGTATGGGAACAGGCTGTGTTATATATATAGACTAACTATAATGTTGATGTTATACAGGTATTGGTATGGGAACAGGCTGTGTTATATATATAGACTAACTATAATGTTGATGTTATACAGGTATTGGTATGGGAACAGGCTGTGTTATATATATAGACTAACTATAATGTTGATGTTATACAGGTATTGGTATGGGAACAGGCTGTGTTATATATATAGACTAACTATAATGTTGATGTTATACAGGTATTGGTATGGGAACAGGCTGTGTTATATATATAGACTAACTATAATGTTGATGTTATACAGGTATTGGTATGGGAACAGGCTGTGTTATATATATAGACTAACTATAATGTTGATGTTATACAGGTATTGGTATGGGAACAGGCTGTGTTATATATATAGACTAACTATAATGTTGATGTTATACAGGTATTGGTATGGGAACAGGCTGTGTTATATATATAGACTAACTATAATGTTGATGTTATACAGGTATTGGTATGGGAACAGGCTGTGTTATATATATAGACTAACTATAATGTTGATGTTATACAGGTATTGGTATGGGAACAGGCTGTGTTATATATATAGACTAACTATAATGTTGATGTTATACAGGTATTGGTATGGGAACAGGCTGTGTTATATATATAGACTAACTATAATGTTGATGTTATACAGGTATTGGTATGGGAACAGGCTGTGTTATATATATAGACTAACTATAATGTTGATGTTATACAGGTATTGGTATGGGAACAGGCTGTGTTATATATATAGACTAACTATAATGTTGATGTTATACAGGTATTGGTATGGGAACAGGCTGTGTTATATATATAGACTAACTATAATGTTGATGTTATACAGGTATTGGTATGGGAACAGGCTGTGTTATATATATAGACTAACTATAATGTTGATGTTATACAGGTATTGGTATGGGAACAGGCTGTGTTATATATATAGACTAACTATAATGTTGATGTTATACAGGTATTGGTATGGGAACAGGCTGTGTTATATATATAGACTAACTATAATGTTGATGTTATACAGGTATTGGTATGGGAACAGGCTGTGTTATATATATAGACTAACTATAATGTTGATGTTATACAGGTATTGGTATGGGAACAGGCTGTGTTATATATATAGACTAACTATAATGTTGATGTTATACAGGTATTGGTATGGGAACAGGCTGTGTTATATATATAGACTAACTATAATGTTGATGTTATACAGGTATTGGTATGGGAACAGGCTGTGTTATATATATAGACTAACTATAATGTTGATGTTATACAGGTATTGGTATGGGAACAGGCTGTGTTATATATATAGACTAACTATAATGTTGATGTTATACAGGTATTGGTATGGGAACAGGCTGTGTTATATATATAGACTAACTATAATGTTGATGTTATACAGGTATTGGTATGGGAACAGGCTGTGTTATATATATAGACTAACTATAATGTTGATGTTATACAGGTATTGGTATGGGAACAGGCTGTGTTATATATATAGACTAACTATAATGTTGATGTTATACAGGTATTGGTATGGGAACAGGCTGTGTTATATATATAGACTAACTATAATGTTGATGTTATACAGGTATTGGTATGGGAACAGGCTGTGTTATATATATAGACTAACTATAATGTTGATGTTATACAGGTATTGGTATGGGAACAGGCTGTGTTATATATATAGACTAACTATAATGTTGATGTTATACAGGTATTGGTATGGGAACAGGCTGTGTTATATATATAGACTAACTATAATGTTGATGTTATACAGGTATTGGTATGGGAACAGGCTGTGTTATATATATAGACTAACTATAATGTTGATGTTATACAGGTATTGGTATGGGAACAGGCTGTGTTATATATATAGACTAACTATAATGTTGATGTTATACAGGTATTGGTATGGGAACAGGCTGTGTTATATATATAGACTAACTATAATGTTGATGTTATACAGGTATTGGTATGGGAACAGGCTGTGTTATATATATAGACTAACTATAATGTTGATGTTATACAGGTATTGGTATGGGAACAGGCTGTGTTATATATATAGACTAACTATAATGTTGATGTTATACAGGTATTGGTATGGGAACAGGCTGTGTTATATATATAGACTAACTATAATGTTGATGTTATACAGGTATTGGTATGGGAACAGGCTGTGTTATATATATAGACTAACTATAATGTTGATGTTATACAGGTATTGGTATGGGAACAGGCTGTGTTATATATATAGACTAACTATAATGTTGATGTTATACAGGTATTGGTATGGGAACAGGCTGTGTTATATATATAGACTAACTATAATGTTGATGTTATACAGGTATTGGTATGGGAACAGGCTGTGTTATATATATAGACTAACTATAATGTTGATGTTATACAGGTATTGGTATGGGAACAGGCTGTGTTATATATATAGACTAACTATAATGTTGATGTTATACAGGTATTGGTATGGGAACAGGCTGTGTTATATATATAGACTAACTATAATGTTGATGTTATACAGGTATTGGTATGGGAACAGGCTGTGTTATATATATAGACTAACTATAATGTTGATGTTATACAGGTATTGGTATGGGAACAGGCTGTGTTATATATATAGACTAACTATAATGTTGATGTTATACAGGTATTGGTATGGGAACAGGCTGTGTTATATATATAGACTAACTATAATGTTGATGTTATACAGGTATTGGTATGGGAACAGGCTGTGTTATATATATAGACTAACTATAATGTTGATGTTATACAGGTATTGGTATGGGAACAGGCTGTGTTATATATATAGACTAACTATAATGTTGATGTTATACAGGTATTGGTATGGGAACAGGCTGTGTTATATATATAGACTAACTATAATGTTGATGTTATACAGGTATTGGTATGGGAACAGGCTGTGTTATATATATAGACTAACTATAATGTTGATGTTATACAGGTATTGGTATGGGAACAGGCTGTGTTATATATATAGACTAACTATAATGTTGATGTTATACAGGTATTGGTATGGGAACAGGCTGTGTTATATATATAGACTAACTATAATGTTGATGTTATACAGGTATTGGTATGGGAACAGGCTGTGTTATATATATAGACTAACTATAATGTTGATGTTATACAGGTATTGGTATGGGAACAGGCTGTGTTATATATATAGACTAACTATAATGTTGATGTTATACAGGTATTGGTATGGGAACAGGCTGTGTTATATATATAGACTAACTATAATGTTGATGTTATACAGGTATTGGTATGGGAACAGGCTGTGTTATATATATAGACTAACTATAATGTTGATGTTATACAGGTATTGGTATGGGAACAGGCTGTGTTATATATATAGACTAACTATAATGTTGATGTTATACAGGTATTGGTATGGGAACAGGCTGTGTTATATATATAGACTAACTATAATGTTGATGTTATACAGGTATTGGTATGGGAACAGGCTGTGTTATATATATAGACTAACTATAATGTTGATGTTATACAGGTATTGGTATGGGAACAGGCTGTGTTATATATATAGACTAACTATAATGTTGATGTTATACAGGTATTGGTATGGGAACAGGCTGTGTTATATATATAGACTAACTATAATGTTGATGTTATACAGGTATTGGTATGGGAACAGGCTGTGTTATATATATAGACTAACTATAATGTTGATGTTATACAGGTATTGGTATGGGAACAGGCTGTGTTATATATATAGACTAACTATAATGTTGATGTTATACAGGTATTGGTATGGGAACAGGCTGTGTTATATATATAGACTAACTATAATGTTGATGTTATACAGGTATTGGTATGGGAACAGGCTGTGTTATATATATAGACTAACTATAATGTTGATGTTATACAGGTATTGGTATGGGAACAGGCTGTGTTATATATATAGACTAACTATAATGTTGATGTTATACAGGTATTGGTATGGGAACAGGCTGTGTTATATATATAGACTAACTATAATGTTGATGTTATACAGGTATTGGTATGGGAACAGGCTGTGTTATATATATAGACTAACTATAATGTTGATGTTATACAGGTATTGGTATGGGAACAGGCTGTGTTATATATATAGACTAACTATAATGTTGATGTTATACAGGTATTGGTATGGGAACAGGCTGTGTTATATATATAGACTAACTATAATGTTGATGTTATACAGGTATTGGTATGGGAACAGGCTGTGTTATATATATAGACTAACTATAATGTTGATGTTATACAGGTATTGGTATGGGAACAGGCTGTGTTATATATATAGACTAACTATAATGTTGATGTTATACAGGTATTGGTATGGGAACAGGCTGTGTTATATATATAGACTAACTATAATGTTGATGTTATACAGGTATTGGTATGGGAACAGGCTGTGTTATATATATAGACTAACTATAATGTTGATGTTATACAGGTATTGGTATGGGAACAGGCTGTGTTATATATATAGACTAACTATAATGTTGATGTTATACAGGTATTGGTATGGGAACAGGCTGTGTTATATATATAGACTAACTATAATGTTGATGTTATACAGGTATTGGTATGGGAACAGGCTGTGTTATATATATAGACTAACTATAATGTTGATGTTATACAGGTATTGGTATGGGAACAGGCTGTGTTATATATATAGACTAACTATAATGTTGATGTTATACAGGTATTGGTATGGGAACAGGCTGTGTTATATATATAGACTAACTATAATGTTGATGTTATACAGGTATTGGTATGGGAACAGGCTGTGTTATATATATAGACTAACTATAATGTTGATGTTATACAGGTATTGGTATGGGAACAGGCTGTGTTATATATATAGACTAACTATAATGTTGATGTTATACAGGTATTGGTATGGGAACAGGCTGTGTTATATATATAGACTAACTATAATGTTGATGTTATACAGGTATTGGTATGGGAACAGGCTGTGTTATATATATAGACTAACTATAATGTTGATGTTATACAGGTATTGGTATGGGAACAGGCTGTGTTATATATATAGACTAACTATAATGTTGATGTTATACAGGTATTGGTATGGGAACAGGCTGTGTTATATATATAGACTAACTATAATGTTGATGTTATACAGGTATTGGTATGGGAACAGGCTGTGTTATATATATAGACTAACTATAATGTTGATGTTATACAGGTATTGGTATGGGAACAGGCTGTGTTATATATATAGACTAACTATAATGTTGATGTTATACAGGTATTGGTATGGGATCAGGCTGTGTTATATATATAGACTAACTATAATGTTGATGTTATACAGGTATTGGTATGGGAGCGGGCTGTGTTATATATATAGACTAACTATAATGTTGATGTTATACAGGTATTGGTATGGGAGCAGGCTGGGTGTACCCTATGGGCCTGATGTTGGAGGCCAATATGATCCCTATCCAGGAGTGTAACGCTGTGGTCAAGTCGGTCACCAATTTCTTTGGTGACATGTGTTTGCCCGGAGCCCTATCATCCTTCTATAACCCATTTGGTAAGTAATGAATGTACTGAACATGCTGGAACCACTATCTAACACAGGTGAAGGTTTCAAACAATGAAAGATAACTTATACACTGGAAAAACTCATTTTACATTTTTAACAGTAACAGATATAGTACAAGTTATTTTTGTTACCATTACCCCAATGCTGACCGTTAAGCAGGACATCACGGCTACCATTTGAAGGACATTGGTATGTCCCAACAATTATTTCAAAACTAAATAAATTATGCAATGATTTACATTCCTTTCATCGTTGTGGAATTCCATTTAATGTTATGAAAGGGGGAAAAATGAGATATGAAACTAAGAATCACATTTATTATGTGACATTTAGAAATTGTGTGAAATATGTACTCAGTCATGGTTTTCTAAACACCTTGTTTATCTGAAATCCTGGGGCAAGCACTGCTATACATGTGTGGAACATATATTTAACTGATGCCTACCTTAATGTTCAGCAAACACCTAAGTAGCATGGAAACCTATATCAATTATACGAGGAAAAATGAAGCTGTTTTATGTGTTGAATGACTCAAAAAAAAGCCTGAAGTATACCTATATATGGGAGATTTTAACTGTATCTGTTGCCTAGGTAACAACCCTACCTCCATCTGTAAGCTATGTACTGGGGTGCTTGAGGAGAGGTGCTCCACCTCGGACCCCTATGCTGGGTATGATGGCGCCTTCAACTGTTTGAAGTCAGGACAAGGTGATGTGGCATTCCTCCGACATGACACAGTGGAGATGATGCTTGCCAATAGCACAGAGCAGTTACAGGTATGGTCAAGGTCATTGTCGATCTGCATATAAGTAGGTCAAGGTCATTGTCGATCTGCATATAAGTAGGTCAAGGTCATTTTTTTTCGTTATGAATATTGCTACACATCTAGGTGATCATGGAATGTTGTGAAAACTCGTGTGGTTTCTGTGGGATAACTTTTGAAGAATGCTTTGATTTTTATAATATCAATTATCTACTCAACTTTAAATTTAACCCAAATCATGTTACTGAATTTAACCAATCACAACTTTAGATTATCAATAGAGGTACATGTATGATATTGATCTGTATATTCTTTTCAGAGATAGGTCAGTGTCATTATTAATTTTCATACATATATTATATGTCAGAGGTAGGTCAAGGCTTTTTTTATATGTAACTATGAGTCAGAGGTATGTATCATATATACCTCACAGCCAGGTAACATTATAAACGTTACATTGTAGGACTACTCTCTGCTGTGTCAGGACGGTAGTCGTAGGAGTCTTGGTCAGTATGACCAGTGTAACTTCGGTAAAATCATCTCAAACATGGTGATGACCTCCAGCCTCAAACAAGACGCAGAAGTGACCGCCTACAAAACCTTCCTGCTGCAGGCAGCTAGCTGGTTCGGTCCTAACGGACAATACAGTAGCCGCTTCAGAATGTTCAGTTCACTGGATTGGGATTACTTTGGTCGAAGGGATCTCATGTTTTCTGATGTGACGGAGGGATTGATAGATGTAGGCGTAAACAATACATACTACAAATGGGTTGGTAAGTATAAATCTGATGTTTGGATTATTAACATTATCCCTGAATTTCTCTCCCTATTTCAACAGTAAATGTTATATTAATATGGATTTTTTTTTTATTTTTGGAAAAAAATCAGTTGAAAAATAATGAGATCAATACTAGAGTGCCAGACTGTGTAGTTTTATCCTGTAGTATTTTCACTACCGTATCTTTATGCCCCAAACTAACATTATGTCAAAAGAACAGTGTTAGTGTCCTTGGTAATAGCAAGTCTACATGTATCACATGTGTATATACTTACATGTTGTTTCTATGGTAACAGATCCCGAGTTTTACAGAAAAGTGAGCAGTCTGAACTACTGTCCCTTGAACTGGGCACGTTGGTGTGTCATCTCCAAAGACGAAAAATCAAAATGCCAGACCATGTTGATGGCGTTTGAAGCCAAAGACCTTCGCCCTCGACTTGACTGCATTCTTGGCTCCAGTACAGATAACTGTATGTCCATGATTGCCAATGGCGATGCTGATCTCATGAACCTTGACCCCGGTGATGTGTACACCGCTGGCAGGTGAGGATTTGTACCAAAGCTGGACGCATTGACCATCAAAACAATGATATATAGGCTTGTCTTTAACTGCTAGATATTAACTGCTCAATAAATGAATATCAACAAATTGTTAATAATCCAATGTGTCTGTGTTTATAATAAAAAATTAGTAAAAAAATACGAAAAAATTATAAGATAAAGTTATTTTTCAGAATTAAAATGCGTGCCATTCAAAATCCAATTATCAGTGCAGGGATATTTGCCATCTCACAGCAAGACTAATACTTTTACAGGAAATATGGTTTAAAACCTATAGCATCAGAGGATTATGGGAACATGAATTCATCATTCTATGTGGTTGCCGTGGCGAGGAAGAGGGACCACTACATGACGCTCTTCAATCTGAAAAGTAACAACTTTTCTTTGCTTCATATTATGTTATCAATTATCTAATCTATGAAATAATGAAGCATATCTTTCTTTTCTGCATCTGATGAATCATTGATCTTGTAGTTTATAAAACCATCAAGATTAATTCCACATAACTACAAACCAGATGGGTTTTATCCTTGTGTTTGAGTAGAACAGACATACAAACATGTATTTGACAAAACCTGAACATCTAAGTTGTTGGGATTGTGGAACATTTTGATAACTATCAAGGTTTTCAAGATATCAGACTTTGAATTGCTGATAACTCTTCTTTTCCTAAGAAAGGGAGTGCACTATGAAAAAACAACAAATACATACTTTTATGACCTAAATTAAAAAAATAATCTTCTCAAATTGTTATTGCTTGATGACAATAGTAAATACAAATCATGACAGGACATACATTATGTGTCACCCAGTTTTAGTTTAATACTTTGCTACATAAAACCACAGAGCACTGCAGACTGACTATTGTAGGTATGTTTAGTCACATTTATGAACTGTTGTGTTACAGAGAAGCGAGCCTGTCTACCCGGGATAGGACGAGGTGACGGGTGGATTGTACCGGTCAACATCTTCATTGAGACGGAACAGTTCCTGCCACAGCATTGTACAATATTTGAAAATCTTGGTACGCATTTCAACTGTTCTCTACTTCCCATGAAACCAAGGCATTAGGCTCTTCTTCCCATGAAACCAAGGCATTAGTCTCTTCTTCCCATGAGACCAAGGCATTAGTCTCTTCTTCCAATGAAACCAAAGCATAAGTCTCTCCGACCCATGAAACCAAGGCATTAGTATTTTCTTCCCATGAAACCAAGGCATAAGTCGCTTCTTCCCATGAAACCAAGGCATAAGTCTCTTCTTCCCATGAAACCAAGGCTTTAGTCTCTTCTTCCCATGAAATCAAGGCCTTAGTCTTTTCTTCCCATGAAACCAAGGCATGAGTCTCTTCAAGGCATTAGTCTCTTCTTCCCATGAGACCAAGGCATTAGTCTCTTCTTCCAATGAAACCAAAGCATAAGTCTCTCCTTCCCATGAAACCAAGGCATTAGGCTCTTCTTCCCATGAATCCAAGGCATTAGTCTCTTCTTCCAATGAAACCAAAGCATAAGTCTCTCCGACCCATGAAACCAAGGCATTAGTATTTTCTTCCCATGAAACCAAGGCATTCGTCTCTTCTTCCCATGCAACCAAAGCATAAGTCTCTCCTTCCCATGAAACCAAGGCATTCGTCTCTTCTTCCCATGCAACCAAGGCATTAGTCTCTTCTTCCAATGAAACCAAAGCATAAGTCTCTCCGTCCCATGAAACCAAGGCATTAGTCTCTTATTCCCATGAAACCAAGGCATTAGTATTTTCTTCCCATGAAACCAAGGCATTAGGCTCTTCTTCCCATGAAACCAAGGCATTGGGCTCTTCTTCCCATGAAACCAAGGAATGAGTCTCTTCTTCCCATGAAACCAGGGCATTAGTCTCTTCTTCCCATGCAACCAAGGCATTAGTCTCTTCTTCCCAAGAAACCAAGGCATGAGTCTCTTCATGGCATTAGTCTCTTCTTCCCATGCAACCAAGGCATTAGTCTCTTCTTCCAATGAAACCAAAGCATAAGTCTCTCCTTCCCATGAAACCACGGCATTAGTCTCTTCTTCCCATGCAACCAAGGCATTAGTCTCTTCTTCCCATCAAACCAAGGCATTAGTCTCTTCTTCCAATGAAACCAAAGCATAAGTCTCTCCTTCCCATGAAACCACGGCATTAGTCTCTTCTTCCCATGAAACCAAGGCATGAGTCTCTTCTTCCCATGAAACCAAGACATGAGTCTCTTCTTCCTGTTCAAAGCATGGCAGTCATACAAGTTGTCCTTATTTACTATCTAAGGTATAAACCGTACCAGTTGACTCTACCTCTTGTGTGTAGTATATCAGTTATATCAGTTATCTCGTCCACCTGTCTATAGTAAACCAGTTAATACTACAGCCTATTTTAAGCATGCCAGTTACCTCTTTACTAGAAGTCCAAATAAGTCACATTCAAAAATATTATTTATAGGACATATATTCTACTTCACAAAGTAACATTCAAACTTTGAAATTTGATTTGATGCTATGGAATCCACCAACATGTTGGGTTGTACTTATCGTAATTGGTAACATCCTAGGAGCATTTTGATTGGTTGATAAGAAATGGTAACTGATACCTTGTATATTGTGTTTCACAGCAGTTTCTATCCTAAGACTGAAGTTATGTGTTTGCTAGTTGATGAGAAGGTTTTCAGTTGATATTTGTTTTTGTGTGTGTTTCTTAACCTTAACTTTCGTGTGTGTAAATCTAGGTCAACTGTTTGTGCGGAGTTGTATCCCGGGCGCGGTGGACAAGTTATACAACCCCACACAGAAACCTATCAGTCTGGTAGAGGGATGCGCCTCGGGAGGGGCAAAGAAGGGGCGACGTAACAGTGACGACTATTACTACGGAGCCACAGGGGCCTTCAGGTGTCTCGTAGAGAGTAAGTGTTGTGTACATTGTAACAGTCATATAGGAGTTACTATTTGTTGACATATCAATACGATATGAGTAATAAATTCACTGGCTAGCCTGTATCAAGGGAAATAAGTTGAAATTTTCCACTGAAGATTCATATAATTTGAAAATTTGATTGTCAGTTTAAAGGTGAAGAAAAAAGATAGGTTAACATATTATTTTGAGAAAAAAATGATGAAAGGAATTATGTAATGATTTGAAATTTTGTGAGTTAAATGATCCTCCTTATCTTCAAGCCGAATATTTGATTAATTATATAAAAGTGCAAAACAACAGAGAAATAAGATAGGCCTTTAGCTGTAGTGCTATTAGGTGTGGCCATGTAAAATGATACAGGATTGGGACCATACATAATCTAGGTTAAATTATAGGACACCTATTAAACGTGCTATCTTTGCAGTTTCTGTGTAATACCATTTTTGGTAGACATGATTGTTCAGTTGGCTAACAGAAAACATGGTAGATCTTTTATTACATCAAAATGGTTTTGCACATTACAGAGGGTGGAGATATCGCCTTTGTCCGTCACTTGACAGTCCGAGATAATACTGACAGCAGAAATCGAGCTATCTGGGCGAGAAATCGTCGTGCTGATGACTACGAGCTCATGTGTAAAGATGGAAGTCGTACTCAGATCGACAACTGGAGAAACTGTCATCTTGGCAAAGTACCGGCCAACGCAGTGGTGACAGCTCGTAAGTTTGTCTCAGTCGTGTAAGGGAGATAACCTCTTCTCTACTGACTTATTCGTCTATTTAGCTCTGCGTTTCTGAATTTCAAAACTTATGCAATTTAATGAAAAAAGCAGTATCAATATTTGAATAGCCCCAGATGATGGTGGACAGTGCAGGAGCTAAAAGATCTTCACTGAGACCTTCACTGTGACCTTCAATTTATTTTATGATTATATTACTACATTTACTTTATTCAGTTTCTGAACTGTTATAATCAGATAACTAGATCTACAGAGAAACAAACATAATTGCCATTGAAAAATAAAATAGTCACTTTACAGAATAAGCGATTTTGTCTAACACTGTATGTTCTTCGGTTTAAAAAAGACATGTATTTAAGAAAAGCAATTTGGAGGAGACATATATCACTCAACAAAATGATCTGCATTGTGATAATAAATTGTAACACTAAACTAAATTACCAATTCTCATATAAATTTACAGATATGTAAATACAGTGATGATCATTACACTGTCACCATTTGTCCAGGGAAATTTTGGCATAATAAAGGGGTTTGGCAATATTGTTTTCTAGTGCCACCATTTTTCAAGAAAGGAAGGGCCTTACTAAGAGGTTTTGTGACACAATAATTGGGGCAAAAGAGCAATTGTTAAAAATGAAAATGTTATACAATGACATTGTAGGTATTAGGATATGTTTATGGTATTAGGATGATGAGGCAAATAAAACAAGTGGCATTATATCAAGGTTTTACTGCACAGCAGTGGGGTGGGCACTTGGTGTAGGTCTCATTACACAGGGTTTCATGTTAGTCAGGTACACAGTATAATGACTCCCTTTAAGAATATTATACATTATAATGATATGTGTTTCCCTTTATTTCAGAATATAAATCAGAGGAGGAAAAACATATATACTGGCAGCTTATGAATTACGGACAACAGTTTTTCTCATCTGATATGTAAGTTTTATTTTGTTCTTAATTTAGTTTAGGCAAGAGTATACTTACATTCAAGAAAAACTTTCTGAATAGCTAAAAGTGTAATTCTACAAACAAGAGTCAATATACAAAGAGGTTTTGAATGGGAAAATTTCCCTATTCTTGTTCTTGCCCCATTGCGTCCTTGATATATACTTTTGTATAAATAATGATAACACATTTACACATAGAAATCTGGTGCTAGCTGAACAGTTGTTAAATGTCCATGTGTGAATCCTGTGGTTGACAAGGTTACAAGGAATTAAATTTTTCTTGTGCTTTTCTTGCTATTTACGAAATTCTGTAAAGTAATTTAGAGATGATATTCTCATTGCATGGCCAAGATATTAATAAACTATTAATGGATATACCACAATTACATAGAATAATGGTATAACAGTGTCATATACCATTTATATAACTATATATAGCTAGAAAGATGTTTCCCTAAGGCACCCCACAGGCCATACAATACAAAATATGGTATTCTCACCAACACACATATTTATATTGACATACTATAGTCTTAAATCAATAATATAAACTTTGTGTTACAGACTTGGTGACTTCAATATGTTTGATTCTGGGAAATGGTCGTCAAAGTCGTGGTCTAGTGATCTCATTTTCACGGATGACGCAGTGAGGCTGATGAAGGTTGAGCCGGCGAGACAGAACTATAAGACATACCTGGGCCGGTCTTTCATCAACCAGATAGAAAACCTACACAAATACACCTGTGTTCCAATCAAAGAGGTCAGCTCGGCCACCACATGGTCAGCCTCAGTAGTTATAATAACACTGACCACCATACTTCAACTTCTCATCTGAAGTTCATTTCTCTGTTAACATTTTATAAAAGTTAAGTATGAATTTCTGGCAATGTACATTTCAAATGATGAGTTACCATATCAAGGCTTATAAAATCACCTCTGTTTTATTTTGTAAAGATCATACTTACAATTCTTAACCGTATTCGTTGTAATAAGTGCCCCTCCCTTTATAAGCGCTCTCACATCATTTCAGTAGGATTTGAAACTAGATAACCAGCCTCCCTGTCTTGAACAGGCCCAACCAATAAATAGTACTCACACTATAAAGGAGAGATATATGCCTGGACACCATAGCTGGACATCCTATGAAGGGAATGAAACCTTTGATTTCCAAACCTCCAGCCACACTGGAATGTTTAGAATGTCCTTCAACAACAGTTTTAGTTTCTCAACCTTTTCTTTCATAACCCACTTTTCATTATCCTAATAAAGTGCCCTGGGAGCTAATCACAGCAAATATGGTAAAAGAATCAATAAACACCTTGAAAGTCCAACTATCCATTTCAAAAGATTGCTCAATTACATATAGTTTCTGTATTAAATTTTGAAAAATTTGATGATAAACCTGGAATATTAAGAGCAACCCTAATGCATTGTTGTTTGGTCAGTTATAACTAATGCTGGACCGAAAATATGTTTGAGGAAGCTAGCTTTTAGTCTTTTATATTTGTCTTCCTTGTATTTTAAACTTTTATTTGTAGATTTTTTGAGCAAGAAAAAAACGTATTACAAGATGAAAGAAATAAAATAAAACATATACTAAATACTAACATTCCAAATTTAGTGAAAGGGTTTAATCTAACCAGAGAATAATAGATATTTTTAATGAAGATTATTAATATTTCATGTCAGACATGTAAATATGTTGTCATAAGTGATCAAATCAATTATTTTTGTACACAAAATGTCTGTATATTTTGTCCATGTAAATAGTTTTATACTTGTAAATATGTACATTTTATAATCAGCTGATGCAAATTTTATACATCTTATGATCATGTGCCATTGCAATACCTGTTGTGTAGTTCTGTGGCTATCTAACATTCTCTGGCCTCTCCTCTTACTGAAAAGGCCAAAACATGTCCTGTAGCTTTCGTTTGTAGTGGAGGAAAGATATGATTGAATTATCTCCCCTCATCTACTCATTCCTCTCATAGAGATTTACTGGAGCTAAACAGAATACATTTACAGATAATACAATTACTGTTACACCTGTAAAATATAATAAGGATGCTTGGTCACTTCAGCAAAGATATTTTGTTATAGTTCAGACTTAGGCTAATTATGCCTGTATTTCCATACAACCGTGTCTAGATCTTTCACTAATTATGCCTGTATTTCCATACAACAGTGTCCAGGTCTTTCACTTATGTATTTATTTTTAAGCATAAATAAGAAAAAAAATGTTCTGTTCCATACAAATCACATGACATTGCATTTGTACGTTTTGCATTATAATGAACTTGACCATTTTTGAAATAATTTCTCTTTCCAAATGTAAAGGATATAATATTGAACGCAGTTGAATAATTAATAAATGGTCTCCTTTCAAACATTTTATTTTTAAAAACATTAAAGGTTTTTAAAAATAAAATGTTTGAAAAGAGAAAATTTAAATTTGGTGATGATATTTTATTCTACAAATGACCTGATTATCCATTGTGGGAGACTTGGTGAGTACTGTTTCTGTATGATACTGTTGTGGGCCCCTTTAGTCAGTATGTAGTCCCTCTCTGTATAATACCGTTATGTAAACACCATTGTAGCGGCTCATTTCTGTACATTTTCACTTGAAACCTGTTTAGAATTCAGACTTCACCATATACTGTCATGTGTATATATTCATTGTGAATCGTGAAAAGTGTATGAAATAGAATTGTCATGATAATGGAAGTTCATATTTATAATTATCATGGGAGAAAGATTACCATTTATTCATTGTATAATTATAGGAAGCACTTATATGGATCTAGAAAAAATCGTAAGAAATTTAAATATTCATTGTCTCGTGAGTGCTTGTAACATTTACGTCAGAGTACAGAAGTTATATACGTGTACAAGTACAAATATATGTGGAGAACAGTTACCAGAGTTGTTTCCCCTTGCACTGGATTAGTCAACAAAAGGCTTGTTGACACTCTGTCAATCTCTGAATGTTTAATATTTTAAGTATGAACCATTGCATAAGTTATGCAGTCCTTAGCAACTTCTTTAAATCGATTCTATAAATTATGATTGTTGACAAGTTTTAGCAAATCAATTTCAATATTCTACTTTTCATCAGAAGTGATTCGTTTATAAATCTAGTAAGTGCTTTTGTATATATAAATGTGTGACTGATTTTTAAAGAGTCAAATTGAAATCATCAAATCAGTGTTTAGCAAAATTGTATATAACTACTACAACTAATTTGTACAATAAAAGATTTTTTAATAAAATATTTTGATATATTATGATTATTTTGTGTATTTCTTTCTTTTGGACGGATAGCACATACAGTGTTAAATGAGAGTATTTTGTAGTAGTCTGTTATTAGAATGTGTTCTAGAAGTCAAGGTCACTTGTTGGTTCACAATAATAATAATAAAAAAAAATCATGACTTTAACAATACTCCTCATAATCTCAATATTTCTCCTTACAATGTATAAATTTCCTACTTTGAGACAGAAATGGTATTTTCACAGACTTTCATACAAATATAGGTCAGGTTGTCACACTGAATGTCATTTCCCCCATTGAGTTGGTTCACTTTGGCATACAGTAACAGTTAAACTTTGTTACTGTTGTCTTGCAATATACATAGAAGAACTATTTGTGTATTTTTGTTTGTTTCGGGTTTAGCGTCCTCTGCAAAGTGCCAAGGTCATATAAAGATAGGTCTATTTCAGTTAAAATGACATGTGGTATAAGTCTGTATGAAGTGTTGTCTTTATGATAATGTATATTGAGGTAATACCCCCGCTAAGTGTGAAAAGTAAGTGGGTATTGTATAAATCATGATAAAACTTACCAGGTAATTGCTTGCTGACGAAAGATGCACAACGCCATGGTGACATTTGTAGATTTGGCAGGGCCAGACATACCTGTCTGACTGGCAGTCTGATGCTGCAGGAATCGCCAGACAACAAGAATTCGGTCTGCCAGGTATGAAATGGGAGATTACTCTATATAAACTATTCAGATAATGGATTGGACCTTATGATGCTACTTGGCGTTCAGCCTTATACTTAAAGGTAATCCGTTCAAGATACCTTTTTTTTAAAATTCATTCCATTTCATTTAATGTTGGAGACATTGTTTATATGAAACTTTGGAGCTTTATTCACGTACAATTTTGATAATTTAATCTTTGATTTTTCACATGGACTATAACAGTATATACTTAAAACAGGGCTATCTGCCTGTGGTAGTTAATGTCTTAATATGAAATATATTAATTACCGACTTCTTAACTTTGTAAGCAGCACATGAATCTTAAAGAGAAGACATCTCGGACACATCATTGTAAAGCATACATATTGAACACATTGAGAGAATACACTTTTTAAGATAATGTCCCTCTAAGTTTGGAGAGTTCGTAATAGAGGCTGTTTATACACGTTATAAAGGAGATTAGTACACCGGGTATATGTTATAGAGATAAGTACACCGGGTATATGTTATAGAGATTAGTACAACGGGTATATGTTATAGAGATTAATACACAGGGTATATGTTAGATTAATACACCGAGTATATGTTATAGAGATTAGTACATGGGGTATATGTTATAGAGATTAGTACACCGGGTATATGTTATAGTGATTAGTACACCAGGTATATGTTACAGAGATTAGTACATGGGGTATATGTTATAGAGATTAGTACACTGGGTATATGTTATAGAGATTAGTACACCAGGTATATGTTATAGAGATTAGTACACCGGGTATATGTTATAGAGATTAGTACACCGGGTATATGTTATAGAGATTAGTACATGGGGTATATGTTATAGAGATTAGTACACCGGGTATATGTTATAGAGATTAGTACACCGGGTACATGTTACAGAGATTAGTACACTGGGTATATGTTATAGAGGTTAGTACACCGGGTATATGTTATAGAGATTAGTACAACGGGTATATGTTATAAAGATTAGTACAATGGGTATATGTTATAGAGATTAGTACAATGGGTATATGTTATAGAGATTAGTACACCGGGTACATGTTACAGAGATTAGTACAATGGGTATATGTTATAGAGATTAGTACACCGGGTATATGTTATAGAGATTAGTACAACGGGTATATGTTATAGTGATTAGTACACCGGGTATATGTTACAGAGATTAGTACACCGGGTATATGTTATAGAGATTAGTACACTGGGTATATGTTATAGAGATTAGTACACCGGGTATATGTTATAGAGATTAGTACACCGGGAATATGTTATAAAGATTAGTACAACGGGTATATGTTATAGAGATTAGTACACCGGGTATATGTTATAGAGATTAGTACACCAGGTATATGTTATAGAGATTAGTACACCGGGTATATGTTACAGAGATTAATACACCGGGTATATGTTATAGAGATGAGTACACTGGGTATATGTTACAGAGATTAGTACACCGGGTATATGTTATAGAGATTAGTACATCGGGTATATGTTATAGAGATTAGTACACTGGGTATATGTTATAGAGATTAGTACACCGGGTATATGTTATAGAGATTAATACACCGGGTATATGTTATAGAGATGAGTACACCGGGTATATGTTATAGAGATTAGCTCACATGAAGTTTTATATTGTAATGGATGATCTCAACATAAACTTCTATAATTATTGAACAGCCTGTGTACCAGATGTAGCTGTTGGTTTATCTCTGATGATCACAGATACACTAGACTGAGATAGGTCTGATACTAATTGTTATAACTAGGGTAGTGAGTTGATACTACTCTAAAGTCACTTCCATGTCTATAATGTCACTGTGACCTTGACTGTCTGTAGATGACAGATACATAACACTCTGACCTTGACTGTCTTTGTAAGAACGGAACATGTCACTCTTGTGTCATTGTGACCTTGACTGTCTGTAGATGACAGATACATAACACTCTGGCCTTGACTGTCTTTGTAAGATCGGAACATTTCTCTCTTGTGTCACTGTTACCTTGACTGTCTTGGTAAGAACGGAACATGTCACTCTTGTGTCACTGTGACATTGACTGTCTTTGTAAGACAGAAACATGTCATTCTTGTGTCACTGTGACATTGACTGTCTTTGTAAGATCGGAACATTTCACTCTTGTGTCACTGTGACCTTGACTGTCTTTGTAAGAACGGAACATGTTACTCTTGTGTCACTGTGACCTTGACTGTCTTTGTAAGACAGAAACATGTCACTCTTGTGTCACTGTGACATTGACTGTCTTTGTAAGACAAAAACATGTCATTCTTGTGTCACTGTGACATTGACTGTCTTTGTAAGAACGGAACATTTCACTCTTGTGTCACTGTGTCCTTGACTGTCTTTGTAAGAACGGAACATGTCACTTTTGTGTCACTGTGACCTTGACTGTCTGTGTAAGAAAGGAACATGTCACTTTCATGTCACTGTGACCTTGACTGTCTTTGTAAGAAAGGAACATGTCACTCTTGTGTCACTGTGACCTTGACTGTCTGTGTAAGAAAGGAACATGTCACTTTTGTGTCACTGTGACCTTGACTGTCTTTGTAAGACAGAAACATGTCCCTCTTGTGTCACTGTGACTTTGACTGTCTTAGACATCTATCTACATACCAGCCTCTCTGATCAGTGCCCTAACAAGACTTTGTAAGAAAGGAACATGCCACTCTTGTGTCACTGTGACCTTGACTGTCTTTGTGAGAGAGAAACATGTCACTCTTGTGTCACTGTGACCTTGACTGTCTGTGTAAGAATGGAACATGTCACTTTTATGTCATTGTGACCTTGACTGTCCGTATATGACAGATACATATCACTGTGACCTTGACTGTCTGTGATTTCATTTTTACTGTGCAAAACATTCAAATTATTTGAAATATTTTGAACATAAAACACAAGGTCACCTGGTTTCTGATAGCACCAATCAACAATTTAGATATATTTATTAATTTTCACTGCAGTCTTGGGTGAATCTTGGCCATTATCAAATGTGGTCTTTTATCTTAATGTTGATGACACAATTTAAGATCGTCTTGAACTCTCTAGTGTTTGAAATTCACTTTTATACATGGACTTCTTGGCCAATTTCAGTTCACTCCTTATTTGAAAAAGTAATTGCATATTTAAATCTTATGTAATGTTATATATTTTTATCCTATCTACAAATTAAATACAGTTGATTACATCTAATTTACAGTTTGAATTTTATCTTCTGCCAATAAATCCTAACGACTTAAATCATTAACTAGTGTACACTGTTCATAGTAATGGCTATATATTGTAGGACTCTAATGATAATCTATTTATCTCGGTCATAAACAACATTTTTTCATTAAATAGCTGTATATTGTAAAGCAGGTGTTGTATTGTAGCTACTTGTAACTGATGAACATCAAACAGAGACATATCAAAGTTAAAATCTTAGAAAAAAATGTATAGAATACATACATAAAGTATTTACAACTGAGAACATATTAATTCAATTTTTTCATTAAATCTGTAATAGTTATAGCTTATATGTTGAGCAGGTGTTACTCTGATGTTAATTGGAGCTGACGACCTACAAACAAACTTACTTATCTGAATTAAAATCTAAACTAATGCAACAATACCTGTATATAGTTATAGATAATAAGCTATCTGACCTCAAAAATCGCAGATCAATAAAAATGTATCAATCGTATTGAATCATTTTGAATTTTTTTTCTCTCTGTAAATGTTATCTGTTAGCAGAAAAAAGCCAATTTAATGAGGCTTATTAATGGGTTTTACAATTAAGATGTTTTGTTTTAACATGACAGTGCGATTATACTTTAGTCATTATCACTGAGGAATATTATGTAACATGAACAAGCATTGTAGTCGATCTTCTCGGTAAAATAGACCTATCAGATTTAATATCTAGATTAACTTGATACTGTGGTGCATTTGAATGGATAACTTGATACTGCTGATAATGGCGTATCAAATCCGAAACACGCTATACCAGTTTGTAACAGCTGAAATCTGGACGCGTGCCTATGTTCCGTCAAAAGGGTGAGAAAAAATACATTCTGGTCAATTAGTGACCAACTAAGATCAACTAATGTCGCGAAAGACAATACCATTAAATAGAAAAAAGCAATTAATATCAATTTTGTGCAGCTCTTTTAAATATTATATACTGCATTGTTAATTTGGTTGAAGATTCTTCAACATAACCAATTCATAAGCTAATCATGGAACTGGTGATTTTCAATTATTTATACAAAAATATTTCCTTATTTTAATATATATTTAATAACAAAAAATGAAACACAAATATCCGTTTTCACTTTTATGCATGCAAATACATGTATTTAGAATAAAAACGTAAATATTTTTTTTTTATATTAAATTTTGAAACTAACTAGACATTTTACCTGTAATTCCGGTAAAACAAAGGAATCAGGTAGGCAGATAATTAACACAGGTACAAACAGATTAATTGCTCGTTAAGACACACCTGAACCACGCTAATTAGGTGTCGGGTAAGACAATAGGTAGACAATAATAAGGTGTGTATAAAGTATGTAGATAGGAAGTTGCCAGCTAGGGGTTATAGGTCAAATAATGTACTCAGCAAAACTGCAAAATCACTGTTTAAAATTGCTGAACACATTTTTAAAAAGGTAGTGAAGTTCTAATTAGTGGTTGTTCTTCATATCTCACCAAACAACTGGATAGTGACTAGATTTGTCGCAGAAGTGCAAAATATCTGTCATAGGGGTAAAACAATGTGAAATTCAATGAGAAATCAATAAAAAGAGCATGATGCCTCGATCATCTGTTAAACAAGATATCCATAAAGAAATTACTTTTGTATAAAACTTTTGAACAGAGAAATCTGTTATTGTTTATATGTAAGTGGTATTTTTTGCAACTCTAGTTGCCAGATTGTATAGATAGGACCAGATCTGAAAAACGTGTTTAATCAGTTTTTTCAGTAAATCTGGATGTCTAAATATAGCATTTAGGGGTAAACCCCTACTGCTTTTCAAATGAAGTTAATTTTGTAAATGAATATTTAAAGTGGTTATGGTATATTTTTTAAAATAAAATATATTGTAATGTTCAGCACGATTGTTCAACATTAATTATACTTACGGTAGTCAAATTGTATGATTAGGACACAGATTTAAATATGGTAGAAACCTGACAGCACTATCCAAATAATTCAATAAATAACCTATTTTCCTTTCATCTTATTAAAGAAGCATATACTAAACAGTAAAGCACTAATTCAGCTTTATATCACATCATATTCACTATCACAATTAATAAGTCCAGAATTGTATTTTAATTATAACATCTGGCTAAAGAGAACAAATGCTATTATAACACCTCAATAAGTGGGCGGATTGGTCGAGTGGTTAACACTTCGGCCTTCAGCGCAGACGGCTAGGGTTCGATCCTCGAAGTCGTCGTACGAATGGAATATCAGAGAAAGCGTTTTTCTCCTGCCCACACAACTGTATCTGTGCTGTAGTATTCAAGTGAGGTGGCACTATAAAAGATGCCGTTGGAAGCACGGTCCCACTACCAAACAGAACACAATACATATCCAGCACACACGCAGGCATACACACATAGGGAGATATTAGCAAGGTGGCATAGGACTAGTAGTTAGCACCTGATAAGGCAGCTCCTGCGAATTCCTCAAAATTGAATTAATTAATGTATATGCTAATTATATGAATTGTATATCTATGTACTGTAAAGCGCTTTAGAGTGGCTTATGTTAGCTAGATAGGGCGCTATATCAAATGTTATATATTATTATTATTATAATAAAGAGACACCTGTAGGTTGTATTTATAGAGAAATCACCTCCATACATTGTATTATCTGATTAAGGGATGGACATCTCAATCATTTCCATGTTGTGACATAGAGTATAAGCTGCCAGGGGAGGGGCAGACCCAGTGGCAAATCCTGGTAGCATATCTGTGTTTTTCTCATGTCCAGCAAATGCATGTATGGTAATGGGATGGGGATTTCAAATCTTTCAAAGTTATAACCCTATGACTAAGCAACCAAGTATGGGGCCAATCCTTCATACTCAGCAAGGGTACACATGGCTATAGGGTGGGACTCTTTTCCATGGTATGACCCTGGGACTGAGTCCCTATAGGAGGTAGCCCAAGTTTCCTCTGGCCCTACACCAGACTTTGACATTTTGACCGATAGATGTCTGTTATGGGGCCAGAGCGCACTGCTATATGAAAACGTGGATTTTTTTGAAATTTTGAACGATTGAAAATATTTGTAGGTAATGGGGTGACTTATCAACAAACTGTACTGATCTTGACCGAAAGCGTAATATATTATTCTTGTTGAGAAGATTTCCGGACTGTGTCTTTTTGTTGATTAGTCACTCCCCGATACCAAACGGTGTCTGAGAATTCCACGTTTTCATATAGCAGTGCGCTCTGGCCCCACACCAGACATCTATCTGTCAAAATGTCAAAGTCTGGTGTAAGGGCCAGAGAAAACCCGGGCTACATGGGAGGGGACAGACCCTGAGGTCAAACCTGGTAGCACATCTGTATTTGAACTTTCCTGCACTGCACCTGTATGCATCTTTATAGGGTTGAGATCTTAACAGTTTCCAATTCTGACACAGAAATTTAAGTCCCTCGTGATGTGGCCGGACCTAAGAGTCAATTCACATATCATGATTGTGTTCCGTCTTTTATATCCAGTAATTGTATATTTGGTTATAGATTGGGCTGAACTCGACTGTTTCAAAGCTATGTCCTGTGGACTAAGTCTCTAAGGATGGAGCAAAACCCTGGAACAATACTGGTAGCATATGTGCATTTTCCTCTTTATCCTCAGTAATTTTAAATACAATTATATGGTTAGTGTTCGGACTTCAAATGTTTTCAAGTTGTGACCAAAGTTCGTAGGGGTGTGTGCAACCCCAGGGTAAATCATTCTCTTTGGCCTCACTTCTCAGATCCACTATTTGGACAATTTTGAATTCTCACCAGCTAGAGATGTTTGGAGTCAAATTTAGTTAAATTTCAATCGGTTTTTCAGAAGAAGACGCTTAAAGAACAGTTGCCACACTATGGCATAAGCTCACCGTGGTCCTTCGGAATAGGCGAGCTAAAAGCACTGGTTGGAGTAATCATTCAAGATTTACATTGTACTTTAAAAGGAGCAATCTAAAACAAATAAACTAAACAACAAACCTATCAAATTTCATATGATATATCAATTTTCTTTCACAATATTGAAATAATATAGCTGTTGATATTGTAAGTCTTATCTTTGAAACAGGACACTATCAACTTCTCAACTATGTAATTTGACACTTATTTTTTTTTTAAATATGAGACATTTGGTTTAATGAACAACAATGACAATTGAGTTTTGCGGTCACTGAGAACATAAACTACCATTGAATTCTCTAACACAATTCGTGATGTGATACGTTGATAAGATCATCCGAAGGCATTAGACTGGGCAATTCCTATTTCAAACAGCGGAAACTGTTTAGACAGAATCTATGGTGATGTAACAAAGCATTCTATTGGTTGGATTGACAGGTCATCTAATGGGGATAGACGGTATAACTCAATAAATAATTCATAAAGTTTTGGCTGTAGATTGTAATTAAACAGATCTTGTCGGATTGCTATATGATTAATACAATAAATCAATAACAATTATCAAATCTTTATTATTTTCTTATCTAATCAATGAACTGATCTAGTCTGTCTGCTCAACATATCAGGATGGTATAGATAACTTGTGGCAAAAGGTAGCGACTCCATTTTAACCGAGATCACTGTTTTGTACAGAGGACTGTCTGCTAGAAGCGTGACATCAAAAGACAGACAATATGCTATCAGAATAGTTCACGCCACTTAAACTAATCCATGTCACATTCAGACTACCCGACCACAATATCACCTCTGGTTCCAGTCCAAATTTTTGAAAAAGAAATAGCACAATTGCTTTGTAAAATGACATGGGAAAAACTATGTTTAATGTTAGTTCACAAAACCCTCAAAATACTTCAAAAAGTTTTTTAATTCCTTCTTTTTTTTTGAATGAATTTTTTATTTTAGTCAATCAAACTGGTTCCAATATGTCTGTGAGATTTATCTTTAAAATTCACGATGATCCTATCAGAACTGAGTGACACATGTACCTGTATTGTCAGTGGTGTAAGAAAGTTCGTTAAGGACATACCTTACCTGGCCCAGGTGTACCAAGTACAGTCATCTTGATCAAACATTAACAGTAGTATTCAAATACATGTAGTCCCCAACTTCATCTGCCACAATTGTAAAATCTTTGATATTGATGAAGAAGCGATGACCTATACATACTATACACTAAGAGAACACCATTTAGGATTAGACCTCTATAAATGGGTGCTTCTCCGTTCCCTTCTTTGGACACTAGACTATCCTTGCCACATTCTGTTTCGTCCTACTAAGGGGAACAGACAGTAACTCTAGTAACAGGTTTTCATATTACCACAGGTACATGGGGGTCACCTTCCTGAATCTCAAGTATTGTCCATATGTATCAAATTCAACATAAAAAGTGGATGTCAAGGTCAACATAAACAACAGAAATAAAAAAGTTTGTCAGATGTCTTAGGTGTGTGGTCTATCAACAGCATACAGGTTGGAGGTGGTCATGCTATCATTGCATTGACTGTTTAACGAGTTGATTTTGTTGTTAACATTGAAGTCTTTCTGCCATGTGAAGGTAGCACATCTTCTATTCTTCTCTCTGGTTGTCTTTAGTATCTTCAGTACCAAAGAAGGATAACAATTTTTTGTGATTGAATAAGGGTCAGTTCAAGGTTACATTTTGTTTTAAGTCCATTGGATTCTGATATAATCTCAGAAACAAAAGTGTGGACAGATAGATAGATAGACAGATGGACGGACACCATGCTAACTATGGGGCACCAGCCTCTCTGATCAGTGCCCTAACAAGATCTCCTATATCATTAGAGAAAACAACGAGAATACAGTGTCATCTTTTTTACACATTTTCTTTATTATTTGATATCACTGGCATTTGTTTGCACTTGCACTTTTAATATGGTATCATTCTGATAACAGGTGATGTTAAAATGTTATCAATGATAACAGATGATATTGAATCTGATATCATTGACAACACATACCATTTATAATGTTATTACTGATAACAGGTGGTTTTAATATGGTATCAATGGTAACATAATATTAAAAAATGTTATCACTGATAACAGATAACATGTTGTACTGATGATAAATGATATTCAATAATGTTGTGATGATAACAGATCAGATTTGGTTAATAACGATGACATTTACAAAATATAACAACAAGGAAAGGAAACTTAACATGTGACAATGTGGCATCAACAAAGTGGTGCTCAATCAACTTAAACAAAAACAATATCAACCCTTCCCTAAAGTGTGACTTCACCCTTACCTCAGAACAATATCTACCCTTCCCCAAAGTGTGACTATGTCCCTAACCTTGAGTCCATACAATATCTACCCTTCCCTAAAGTGTGACTTCACCCTTCCCTCAAAACAATACCAACCCTTCCCTCAAAATATGACTTTATCCCTAACCTTGTGTCAAAACAATATCAACTCTTCCCTAAAGTGTGACTTCACCCTTACCTCAAAACAATATCTACCCTTCCCCAAAGTGTGACTATATCCCTAACCTTGAGTCCATACAATATCTACCCTTCCCTAAAGTGTGACAATATCCCTAACCTTGAGTCCATACAATATCTACCCTTCCCCAAAGTGTGACTTCATCCATCACCTCAAAACAGTATCTACCCACAAAGTGTGACTATATCCCTAACCTTGAGTAAAACAGTATCTTAGTGACCCTCCCTCAAGTGTGACTTCAGCCCCCAACAATATCTATACCCTCACCCAAAGTGTGACTTCAGCCCCCAACAATATCTAACAATATCTACTCCAGCACAAATTAAAGTGTCACTTCATTCCTAAGCCCTCATTAAAAACATATCTACCCCTCCTAAAAAAGTGACTTAATTCTTGACCTTGTGTCACCAGACATCTACTCTTCCCTTGACTTTATTCCTCACCCATTTTCTAACAATAACAACGATTTGAAGACTTTTAACTTTTAAAACAAAATAGTCTTTTTGCGTCATAGTAAAACATATGTGACCTTTATAGCACATATGTCCTTGACATGACCTTTACCTGACCCTGGTGACAATGTTGTTATCATTTAGTATAAACAGAAAATATTCTTTTCAAATTAACTTATCATTTTTTTTCTTTTGTGGCTTTATTAACTACTTGACTGTCCTATTATTTTGTAGAGATTTATAAACATTAGTACATATTTAGCAAAAAGCATATTTTCTAATAAATCAGAATGGCAAAATGATGCAAGGTTACCATGGAAACTGAATGTGTGGGTGTGATTTGAAATGATATTACTGGCAGTTTGAAGCATACATTGATACAAGATAAGGAACAATTTTCAGCTCAGAACTTTGTAACATGTTTAAGACTTGATGATTACGTGATCATGAATGCATCATCATCATTCCCACGTAACCCTTACTCACACAGTAAACATTGCGAAAATTCTAAAAAATATACAAAAACCTTTGTATATTACATGAGGTAGATTTTCATCGATGTACTTATCCAAACTAAAAAGTCCTGAATGGTGATATTATTAAAATGAAGATTTTCCAATTTTAGACAACCCTTGCCAAAATTCTTTTAAATATGAAGTTCAGTTCTATCATTTACTATTTCTCCCTTTGTTCATCGTTTATAAAAAAGTGTTGTTCATGTTAGATTACGAATTTTCAGTTATGTCAAATGAGATTCTTATCACAAAAAGAAATGAAGAATGCATGGATAGGTTTAATGGACATTATAAGCTCGGTCATGGTTCACATTACTCATAACTTTCAAAATATACAATAAAAATTTCAAAATATCAAGTGAAAATTTCAAAATAAAAATCAAAAATTTCGAAATATGCGATGTAAATTTCAAAGTATAAAATGAAAATTTCTATAAACATTGCATACATTGAAAATCTCAAAATTTATACTACATGTATAAAAATTTCAAAATATAAAATCAAAACTTCATAACTTAGAGGAGGAATTTCAAAATATACAAAAAAAATCAGGTGAAACAGTTTCTCAATATGTCCTTTTTTTAACATGCATGTTTATTTTATGAGTATGGAATACGAATTGTACAGTCAAAACACCTACAATTTTTAGACATTCATTCTTCAGATTTTCTATCCACTTTCAATTTTTTCCATTATTGAGGGTACCTACAGCAAAATTTGTACAAGCAATTAAGATTTATAAAAAACAGTTGTATTACTATTTCTCAAATTTGCCCTTACTTCAATTGTAGAAAGAATGACATTTTTTCAAGTTATTTTGATACAAAAATATTTTCCTTTTAAAATTATAAATAATTGGGATTGGAAAACCATGAAATTCTATTTCCTTAAAATGATTGCAATTATCTCCAGATATCATATGTAAAATTACAAACATTCTAATTGCTCTCATACATGTATTACATTTGTTTCCTAACGTGTCACCCGTAAGACTCGCAATCAAACACATGTTATTGATTTGGACCTGTCTGCTACAATCATTACCTCACAACCAGACGCAGTATATATACACCATAAATATCTATATCATTGTATATATACACAATTATCGTGATGGTTGTTCACAGACAATACACATACAACAATTAAAACTTATACATAAGTTTTGATATATTAATTTACGATGAACCTCATTCTCCACACTTCTGTTCCCTAACATAATCCCGAATGACACTTTTTATCAAAGAGACCAGGATGCTGAGAACATTGTTTTCTATGCATGAACATCTAAAATGTTTGTTTTTTAAATCTGGAGTTTACACTTTTCAGGTTCTATTGTACATATATATAAAATAGAAACAATTCTATATTCAGAAACAAAATTTATATCAAAGTTCATAAAGTTATCTCCCCCTGAACTGACAAGAGTTATGGGACTTGTTTGTAGATGTGGATGTATAAATAAAAGGTTATTTACAAGCTTTTTACAGACTAAGAACACTGCTATATTTACACACAGCCCTTCACATTGTCTCTAATGAACACTATAACAGCCAGGTACAGTCACACAGACACGTACCATCATTGTCCATGGCCTGTATTGCTCTCCATACCAAACAATTCACCATGACATGTAGGAGGTACCATACTTTAACAGAGATCAATGTCGTCTCTAAGCCTGATAGCTCATTTGAATTCTAATCACAGAATTCTATGGCCACCACAGGCCTCCATACTTGTCCACAATCAAGGTCTCTGTAGGTTTCCATAGTTCCTATTGTATTGTCTGTTTATGTCATGGACTGCAACTTCCTGGATTTCTTTGATGGATGGAGATCACACATGTTAGCAATTATGTCAATTTTCTTCCGGTTCAACAGAAAATGAACTCTTTATTCACCACTCTGACTTTCTTCACATTAATAGAAAAATAGCTGTTTTTCACATTTAATTGTCTTTGTTAATAATGTGTTTTAAAGAATTCAGTTGTTTCTTCCCGTAAACAGTGGAACACATCTCATCACATTTTCATTTAAGATCTATGAATTTATGACATCTTTGTCATGCTGATGAATATCTATGACATCTTTGTCATAACATGGGTAACCATGACACCAATCAACGTCATATCAATAACCACAAAGTCATTGTCATATCGACTTGTAACCATGGCATTTATGTCATCATGATATGTATCTATGACATATCTACAATGTCATGATACAACCAGACTGTCTGTTTCACACATTCCTAACAACAGTCCCCACGGTGTACGGAATCAGCGACAGAGTATCCGGAATAGACACAAGTATAGACATGTAAATCACGCTGATGGGTTGTCTCCCTTGGCAGCAGTTTGAGCGATTTATCACAAACAGTCACATGCTATTTAACATCTGCAGATCTCACCGCTCTGTTCGGTTAAGATGTGATAATTTCAAACTTTCCAGTACTGAAATGAAAATTAAACATTTAATCAACAAGAGTTATCCTTCCTTAGACATTTTACTTAAGTTTCTACAGCTTTTAAACTATATTTGAACGCAAAATTTTGTTTCTTTTACAAAGCAGTTAAAGCAATGTCTTTATTTCAATAGTCTTTTCTATATTTTTCACATTCTTCAATTTTAAATATCGATTTATGTCAAATACACATACAAATTGAAAGCAAACCTGTTGGAACACATTATGAAAGTGATTCCATTGGTTGGCATGATGATATGTGATAACATGGGTAACCATGGTGATATCTGACATAGGCAACCATAAAGATATATGATGACATTAGTAACCATGGTGATACTTACAATGTTCACATGATTTTCCGTGGTGTGTTGGCCCACATTTGCACTTTCCCCTACGACAGCGTCCCCCGTTTAGACAGGGAGTTTTACAGACGTGTTTAAGCTTTCGTCGACATCCCTTGCCTGTGAACCCTGGCATACATTGACACTTCCCTGGCTTGACGCACACTGCACGTGCCCCACAACTCTTACTGCACACAGCTGTAAAAACAACAAACACACAACTCATTATGACATGAGACAATTTTCAAAAGACATTGCCTTTATAAAAGCAAACTCAGGAAAAACGTTTCTAGTTATGTAGAAAATGGAATTATTGGAGAGATGATTTTGAGAAATTGTCTTGGCTATAACGTAATAGTTATGGTAAGAAATTGTAACTACAGAGTAATGTACTTACGATTCTGACACATGGCGCCTTTATATCCCTGTGGGCACTGACACGTGTTGTGACCAACACATTTACCACCGTTGACACATGGTGGGGTACAATTTCGGGATGCTGGTGGCTTCTCTATAGACACAAAACAGAATATTAGCAACAGGTATAACAATACAGACTCAAATAACGTTGTGACAGGAATTCATTCTGATACGTACCTTTATTAGAAATTCATACTTATAAAATGGATTTATACTGAGAGTAAGCATACATACGATACTAATATTATGCAATAACCCATTTTCTGTTAATCTATCCATTAATTTCAATTTCAACTGTACTCGACTGATATAAATTGTTGGAGAACTTACCTGCTGGTGTTTTGATGGCCGACTTTTTACAACATAACACCCCGGAGGTGACACCTTCTCTATAGGAACAACCCTTAGTCTTGTCTTTCACTTTGAACACATCTATTCGACCTTGAGATAAGCATGACTGTTTCGTATATCGTAGTTTCCCACATTTTCTCCCGAATCCTGCCATATTTCCCTTTTTACATCTGTAAAAAAGAATTTACAAAATGAATTTATGATATTCAGATGATAGATAAATGAGCAGAAATATTTTGATTGTGCCAATTCTCGATATTAATGGGCAGTGAAGATGCAAGTTTTACAATGAGTGTTGAAGGCCACGGCACTTCTGAAAAAACTGACAATAGTCTTCAAATAGTAACCTAGATATTTGTTTGTTAAGAATCAAAGATGCGTACCTTCGACAGGTGCCCTGACGACTAGCTGCATTGTAAGCATAGCAACCATCTACATCGAACACATCCATCCAGGACAGGTCGCGGAGAGTTTCTGTGTCTGACGGACTACACACCTTCCACCCCTTCCTGCATAAGCTCCGCCCTTTCCTTACATGTCCTGCCCACTTTCCAGCACACGCGTGAACGTACTCGTGAGTCCCTAATCCTTCTGTGGAACCATCCCGACAGCCTGACAGGTGCTCTGAAGTCATACAGGATCAAACTTAATCTCCAGTTATGTTTTACGTAAGTATACGAACTTGAAGACACTGGCTACAGTAGTAGTAACAGTGTGTATACAATATCTGGTTTAACCCTTTCACCACTGTAGACCATAATAGACTCATCCAGATCAATGTATGGTCGAGTCTACTAAAGTTACCTAGGGGTGAAAGGGTTAATACGGCAACTAAAACCAATACCAACTTAGAAAACAATATTTCAAAATCTCATACTGCCTATCGATTATCTTCATATTATATAAATTAAGCTCTTTTTTTTGCCTTGACCGATTAAAAAGTGTGACTGTTAAGTGATTGGTCAGTTTGTACTTACCTCTGATGACCACTATAGAGCTGGCCATATCCACTCCCTCACTGTTGATGACCTCACAACTGTAGAGACCAGAGTCTGACCTTCTCGCCATGGTTACCAAAAGGTCACCTGAAAAGTTCAAAGATTTAAATGAGTACTAGAGATCTTTCTAGTCATATTGGAAATACAGTTTGTCTCAGAAATACAGTTTTTTGTTTCACTGAGTGCAACTTCTCGAATGGAAAACACCCTATTTATTAAGTTAACTTTCAGATGTGAAAATTTGATTAAACACAATACATTTTAACAAATGTTGCCAAATAATCACTTTGTATAATCTAAGATAATTCAGTATGATATCAGCTCGGAAACCTAGACGTTTGAAGTTATCACAACAACAGACAATCGCCCATTAGCGATGTGATGCTGAGGCTGATACTGTTGGTGATAATGTGGTATAACTACAGGTGCTAGACTAAGGTAGTCCCAGATTTACTCAACACTGTTAACACACAATAAAGAAACACTTTAATTACGTCTTGTAGATATGCCAACTACTTCTGCTAATTTTTTTATATCACAATAGCTAACAAACTACCATTCACAGCACAGGTACTCAAATGTAACATAGGTTGTGTAATTGGCTGAAGTGTGAAGAACACAGCTTCTTAGATGAAAGAATAATCAAAATAATTGCTTCAAATAATATTTTCACTTTTTGAAAGACATTTTCAAAGTGGAGAATAAAGAGCACATTATTTAACATCACCACATCAAATAGGATTTGTGTGTGCGAGATGCGAGGTGTTTATTAGGCCTAAGTGGAGGGCTTCGGTACAACATTCTTTCCTGCGATACAGCTTTTTCGCATGTACCTTAACTTAGCATCAAATATAACATGTGATAGGCTTGTGGGAATTGGAGATCACAGGAAAATAGTTCTGAGGTTTAACCTCTGGTATTTGAGTAAAAATACACACATCACCGAAAACAATGAACAAACATCTTTTGAAAATTTGATTTTCTTTCGCCTTTAAAAGATTAAATATTCACAGTGAACAATTTCCTTTTGAGATTTTACTTGTATAAGCAACTAAATATTCCCAATTAGGATATTTCTGTTGATGCAGACAAAATATGATGCCTGCCAGATTTAACATCTAATGAACGTGTGGAACATGCGAGTATGTGCAAAGCACACTCCTGTTAAGTGCTTCCTGCTCGTTAATCATGAAACAGACACCATATATCCCATAATACTATAATCGCAGACACTGTACATCCCCATAATGCTATAATCTGCTATCCTGGTTTCTATCTAATGTGTATGGTGATGTAATGGTCTTCCTGTTAGCTTCTCTAGTTGACCCTACTACATGTTAAACCCTTCATACAAGTACTACGGAATTTAAATCGCGCTTCAGACCGGCACTTGAAACAGTCATTTATCTTCTACTGATTTATGGAATGTGCACCGAAATTTCACGGCTTACGTTATATTTAGTTTTTATTGCTCATAATGTTCGGACCCTCAACTTTTGATCGTTTACGAACTTCCACTAGATTAAGTGTCGGCATACGATAACGAATCAGGGAACTTGTAATGTAAAAATCTTTACTTATGATAAATATCAAAACAAAAGAAATTTCATTACAACATTTTTTCCTTTTTCATGTAGATATACAATTATGTATATTAAGTCAACATGATCTATTATATACTTTTTCTATAGAAAAATGATATATCTTGATAAACAGCAAGTCGGTTCGAAGTATTGTATTGACCTGATCAGGATTTTGTTTCTAAATTAACATTGTGATGACAAATTCCAAAACCTCATTCCAGATCGCCTGTAATTTTTGTTATTGCTCAATCCCACGTAATGGTTTGAAACTTGAAACAGTTGTGTGTTGGTTCCAAGTTTAGAATTTACCTGAGGAGAGAATTAACCTGAGGAGAGAATTTACCTGAGGAGAGAATTTACCTGAGGAGAGAATTTACCTGAGGAGATAATTAACCTGAGGAGAGAATTAACCTGAGGAGAGAATTTACCTGAAGAGAGAATTAACCTGAAGAGAGAATTTACCTGAGGAGAGAATTTACCTGAGGAGAGAATTAACCTGAGGAGAGAATTTACCTGAGGAGAGAATTTACCTGAGGAGAGAATTAACCTGAAGAGAGAATTAACCTGAAGAGAGAATTTACCTGAGGAGAGAATCTGGATGCGCTTGCTGGCCTTAGTGATCTGTGTTCCATCCTTGTACCATTGGGTACGAGGGGGTGGGGTTCCATGTGCCTGACAGGTCAGCAAGAAGATCTGACCTGTGCTCACTTGCATCATTGGCCGTGGCCGAACAAGGATTCTTGGCTTCTCCACTGAAACACACAAGAACACATTATATATGGGTGTGTCATAGCTTACAGTTCATATAAAGTTCATTACAAATGTCCCCGAATCACCTATACACTTTGATAAAGGTCAAGGTTGAATTTATTTTTTTCCCCTTTTAAAGTCTCAATCAATACACTACATACATAAGCTCAGTCTCAATATATTTTGCTGATAATGTCAAGGGTCTTTTCCTGTTTTTATCTCCATTTAAATACCCATTCAAATGTAATACATTGTAAATAATTCGCTTCATTAGATACAACTATGACAATGGTGAGTTAATATTTTCTCTACAATTTTATTTTATTTCCTTTTATACAATTTCTCTTCCTTAAATAGTGACTTAATCCTTCCCTTGTGCAGAAAAACACCCTCCCTGCTATATCCGGCGTAAGACTATTTCTGGGTAGGGGACTATAAGCAGAGAGATTAGGCACTATAGGAGTATTGTTATATTACTTAACTCATTCACCCCTGAAATTTCACAATGAACTATTCCAACCTCTGAACTGGAAGAGTTCAAATGTATCTTCAGGGGTGAATGAGTTAACAGCGTTCAGATAAAAAGCTAATAAAACCATGCCAGCCCTTCCTATTCATGCCTAATTTTGGTACATGTTTTTTATGAATTAATCTTAAGACATGCCATAAAACAGCTCCTATTAAAATACTATAGTACATGTTTAATGTCCAGGTTCCTCCACAGTGTCTCCCTGTGTATGATGGAAGACTGTTCACGCATGTAAAATATCCAGCAGATTCTCCTCTGAGGATGAATGCAATAGATTCAGTACCTCATCTAATCTTAAGACAGATTTCTGAACTTGTCTGAATTAGTTATTCATTTTGAAACCTTTAGAAATTGAAATTCTTAACATAAAGATGTTTTAATATGATGATATAATATTTATCAGGAAAATTACCAATAACTCATTCACCCCTGAAGACACAATTTAACTCTTCCAATTCAAAGGCTGGAATAGTTCATATGAAATTTCAGGAGTGAATGAGTTAAGCAATAAGAAACTATTCTTTACACAAACAGAAATCTTCATAAGCAGTTAGGCTAAGGGTGCTAGTCTATATTGACCTTACATCCACTCCTATACAATCTACTGATTGTCCATGGTCACTACAGGTTAATAACTATGTTGTTCATGTCCTATGTTAAGGTATGTTGTAGTATATTGTTGTTCCATGCTAATTTTATAAGGTTAATAAGTGTAAGTTGTTCCATGCTAATTGTAAAGGTTAATAAGTGTAAGTTGTTCCATGCTAATTGTAAAGGTTAATAAGTGTACGTTGTTCCATGCTAATTGTAAAGATAAATAAGTGTAAGTTGTTCCATGCTAATTGTAAACGTTAATAAGTGTACGTTGTTCCATGCTAATTGTAAAGGTTAATAAGTGTACATTGTTCCATGCTAATTGTAAAGGTTAATAAGTGTATGTTGTTCCATGCTAATTGTAAAGGTTATTAAGTGTAAGTTGTTCCATGCTAATTGTAAAGGTTAATAAGTGTAAGTTGTTCCATGCTAATTGTAAAGGTTAATAAGTGTATGTTGTTCCATGCTAATTGTAAAGTTTAATAAGTGTAAGTTGTTCCATGCTAATTGTAACGGTTAATAAGTGTTTGTTGTTCCATGCTAATTTTAAGGTTAATAAGTGTAAGTTGTTTAATGCTAATTGTAAAGATAAATAAGTGTAAGTTGTTCCATGCTAATTGTAAAGTTTAATAACTGTAAGTTGTTCCATGCTAATTGTAAAGTTTAATAACTGTAAGTTGTTCCATGCTAAATGTAAAGGTTAATAAGTGTAAGTTGTTCCATGCGAATTGTAAAGGTTAATTAGTGTAAGTTGTTCCATGCTAATTGTAATGGTTAATAAGTGTATGTTGTTCCATGCTAATTGTAAAGGTTAATAAGTATAAGTTGTTCCATGCTAATTGTAAAGGTTAATAGGTGTAAGTTGTTCCATGCTAATTGTAAAGGTTAATTAGTGTAAGTTGTTCCATGCTAATTGTAAAGGGTAATTAGTGTAAGTTGTTCCATGCTAATTGTAAAGGTTAATAAGTGTAAGTTGTTCCATGCTAATTGTAACGGTTAATAAGTGTATGTTGTTCCATGCTAATTTTAAGGTTAATAAGTGTAAGTTGTTTCATGCTAATTGTAAAGATAAATAAGTGTAAGTTGTTCCATGCTAATTGTAAAGGTTAATAAGTGTAAGTTTTTCCATGTTAATTTTAAAGATTGACATAACTCTCTATAGCAGGCTGATAACTGTGATTTTTACCTGCTTTAAACTCACTTGGCTTGCGACAGCACAGTACACCCGACATGGTTGGGCGATAGTGGCACGCCGTTTTGAAGTGGGCGTCGACGCAACAACTCGCATCAATCCGACCGCCGGAGATACAGGACGTCTGACCAAAGTTTTGGTGAGGACATCCAATTCCAATCCCTGCCAGATCATCCTGAAAGAGAAACACTTTGTTACTCAGATGTTAAATGCACACAATATTCTTGCCTTTAATTAACCTATTCAAGTGCAGATGAAATCCAAAATGATTTTGGCAATATGCTTTGAAACTGTGATTTATGTTAGCAAACTCTATAATTTGTAAACTTATGACAGAGTGCTTTCAGGCTGCTTACTGCTAAAAACTAAAACTTTTTTTTTGAGTATATTTAGGAAACCAAAACAAAACACATTACGTCTGTTGAAAAAGAAATTTAATGTTAGGCTGGTGGTGTGAGAATAATTGTATTCCCAGGGAAAGTTTTTGTCAAAGTCAAATACAGAACAGTCTTCAGGTAAAATTGTACTCCACCTATGCCCTTTAAAAACTGAACTTCATCAAAAGTTCATAAAAGTAAAGTATAAAACAGCCAAGGGGGCCACTGCAATCCTGAACCATTTAAAATTTAGATGGTTGAGACGGAATTGGGTCAGATCACCTACGAACTGATTACCTGTAAACGGTCCCAAATAATGAACGCCACATTAAACAGAGTTCTCAACCAGGTTCTAAACTCGTAAATACTGAGTTTTACGATGTGATAGGCTACAAACAAGTGACTGTCGTAGATTTCAATACAATTGAATGATCTTTAACTTAAACGTTTATTGAATTCGCAGGAAAATGATCCTTATTCTCATGACATATTTCAAGTTATAGTACCAAGGTTTAATCCATTCAATATCAGCCGCCATAGGTTCATACAGACGCAACAATATCTGCGGTCAGTGGTCCTACAGACATGACGAGCTAAAAACGCGTTATTTGTACAATTACAAGTCTGTGATTGGTGTTCATTTCTCCTAGAACAAGATTGTTTATTGTAGCAGCAGTCGGCTACCCAATTAACATTGTTTTACAAATGATGGGACCTTGCTTGGCAGTAGAGGTCATAAACCAGCCACCTGTAGGGGATATAACGAGTAAACATCACACTTATTGTTAAATTACAGGTAGAAACTTTTCAGGTAAATTATATCAATGGAAAATAAGTATTGAAACTCATAAAATTCAAAATATACAATAAAACTTTTGTTCAACTGAAAACTTCGAAATCTTTGCTATTAAAGACGTTTACTTTATGATTTGCATCTCTTCCTGATCTTGTATTCCAGATGTTTTATAAAATAGTCAGAACTAAAAAAATCTACCGTTTGAATTCTAAAGATCATCTTCCATAAAAACTCTATGAGAGTACATATAATGTTACAAGATGTTATTGGTAAATGTTTATTATCATTTCGCCTGCAGTGATCGTAAATCTTCACATGATTAAGCTGTTCCTTTGTTAAAGATAATATCTTTTCTTCTCAAAAACTGCCACAGTTTTTCTCCTGCCAACTATTTTAGAAGCTGTTTTAGTACATGGACCCCCATGTGGAGTGGAGTATACCTTTTACATTGTTAATCTAATACAGCGGGACAAACATAGTTCAACTCCATTTTGCAAGACAACTTCTTCTCGGGAGTGCAAACAGGGACTCGTAAAACTCAGAGTTAATTGTAGGATGGACGGATGTGGTAAATAGACACACATGTGGGCGAATCATGAGCAATGTCGGAGATTCCTGCTAGGTGTCATGTATTTTGTTGCGAGTGTATCGCGTGTGCGTTTGTATATGTCGCTGTAGTGTACCTGTGAGCTTGACGAGCGGAATCAGGTGGTTTACAGGTGTATATACTTACTACTACCTACATTAGTGTACATTATCCTAACATTACAGAGGTATTGTTATGGGTGATACAATGGAACTACCCACTAATTACTACCCTGTCTAAGACCACAATCACAGCCACCACTGATCGAAATTGTCAATCAGGAGTGTAAGGTAAAAAATACAAACTGAAATCTGACTTAAAGTGAAAATGTAGAAATTTGTTGTCTGTATCTACTGAAGCGTTATCATTGTAAAAGAAAATCCTACTCAGGAAATAGATATCTGATGTTGGTATCTAGCTTTTTCAGCACATTTACCGTAAAACCTTTTCCTTCTCTGTAGATATTTGATGTTGGTATCTAAATATATTTCAGCACATTTACCGTAAAACCGTTTCCTACTCTGCAGATCCTATCCACCTCCTTGAAATTTGACATTGTAGTACCTAGGTATTTGAGCACATTCATTCTAAATCCTTTCCCTATTACAGCAGATATTTAGATCACAGACAGAAGCATCCTCCACAGAGCATGTGGCTCCCCACCATATACACAAATACACATTATAAACAAAAATCCCAGGGGTTATAAAATTATAAACCATTTTATTGTGATCCATCCTGTCCCCCTTAATTCCCGTTCATAGCTGATGACGGCAGATTAAGACGATCCATGGCGTTGAAGTTATATATGCTGAGACCAGCCTGTGGTGAACACGCCAAAATCTACGACAAAAACATGTACTTTTGGCAAACATTGGTATGTTCCCTTCAGGTGAATGCAAAGAAGTAGTAGACAGGGACCAATCAAATTAGGCTAGTTAGCTTTCAGCCATATTTTATATCTTCAGATTTATTTTATTCATTTTTCATAATGTTATACTATCATTCATTTAACAAACGATAAGAATATAATAAAATTCTGCAACTTTTTGAAGAATTTGGCAGTATTTGTTTACACGGGGCTGCTTGTGGTACCTTTTATGTTAAGCGAGTGCAATGTTGGGAAGAGATACTGTTAAATAGAGAATGGCCTATATCTGATGTGGACGGAGCACATGACGCGTAACTAAGGTAACTATGTGTGTTGTAGACTTTCTCCTCGTGGGGCAGAGTCACTGGGTATGAAATTAAGGAATCTCTTTCACAAGACTGCTCCTTTATAGTTGAGATAATTATGGCACAGATTCCATAAATCTAATGTCCTTTGAAAGTGTCTGGTGTCGCAAATGTGCAAAAAAAAAACACCACAGTATGATTCAGGGGTATCGTCATTTACCATCACACATGAAGTGGAAAATATATTTTTTCAAAATCTTCCATATTTTTGTATGCAATTTTATCACTGCACATGATACAATTGAAAAGCTAAAAAAAAGATCTGTTTGACAGGTATGAGGAAGGGAAGAAAACTTTTCTAAGAATTTGATCTATGACTTTAAATGATTGACTTTACGTAGATTTGTATGCGATAACCAAGGGTATTCAGCGATGTTCACGCCTGATCTGCAGCCATCAACTCCTACTATGGTGTGGACAGGACATGTGATGGTATACAATATAATCTGGCTCAGTCGTTTGTGTAACACATAACTGTCCCGACCTTAGGTCATGTTTAACATGTCATTAGTCGACTGCCTTTTGTCTTAGTGACTTTGAAGTGTTTTATCCAGGGGTGTAATTGTATCGACCAATGTCCCCTACCGGAGGTGTCGGTACTGTTGATGTTTATGTACCATGGCACTGAATACAAAATCTGCTACGTAATAACGATACAGCATATTATAGTTTAAGGACATGTTGAAAATATTAATTATTACTTGGTCAACACAATGCGTATAGCTACATAGGTATATATGCTGATTATGATAAAATATTTTCATACATAGTGAGATTTAAAGATAACACAAGGATTCTTAAAGAACAATGTAACAGAAACTGCGTGATGTGTATTACGAGCTTCAACATAGAAATTTGTAATCACCAATCTTCTATCTGTGGGGTAAATAAACAGCTAAGAGTTTCGAATAGAGGTATTTGTTATGTTCCATTCAACATAAGATAAGGCCGGTGTGGTAATACAAGTCCGGGACATCCAAAGTTTAATCTACAAGTATTCTCTTAAACTTATACACTGGTAACTTCCACCTTCAGGTTTTCTATAGATTATATTTGAAAATATTCTATAGAGTTTTATTCATTTTTTTGAGCTTAAAAGAGACAAATTAAAAGGAGAGGAATTTATGAAAGACAACATAGGTGTGAATAAAATGTGAAAAGTTAATTTAACAAACAAAAAGTTTAAGGTAGGGGGTAAAAAGCTGAGGGTTGGGGGAGGTATATATTAGAGCTGCCTTGATGAGGTAATATCATAGTTGATAACCCCACTTCCATGACACTTCAACAATGTTCTGTATGACTTTGTCCAAATTTCTAAAGCTTTGAGAAGATTCGGATGCCAGGGGGGTGCGTAACACATTATCAACGTGTCAGGGTTTTGTTTACTTTAAAACTTAATATCATAAACCTCAGTATATTACGCGGGGCCAATCTTTCTCTGCGGGAGTTGCACTAATCAATGAAAGTCAATAATCTATCATTATGTCTACCTTTGAATTCTCCACAAACATTCACTATGAAGTTCTGACATGAAATTTGTCAGGAAGGAAATCTTTTAAAATTTGTTACCAACAACAAAGTACAATTTTCACATCAATTTCAACTTGTCGATGTTTTATCAACAGCTACTTTTGGACCGTTTATCAGAAAAATGATACTGTCAATTAAATAAAGCCCTAGCTATTACCTACCATTTGGCAATAATAAAACATCCTAAAAGGCACTTCAATCCATCCCCAGCCATTGAATGGTGATGTATAACTAATTACGACTATAAAAAATCCATTTTTTTCCAAGCTCAGAAGTGAACAAAATTCTATACCCTAGCATTTTATTAATATAGGCTTATATGTCACACATCAATATATTTGCTTTACTTTTTAAATACATTTAATGGATTGCTCAGAGTCTATACTGTTTTTTGAAGTGTTGAGTTAATTTTCAGTAACCTATATCCTAGTCGGACCATTTTCTAACAAAGGCGTTGTTATATAGACATCAAAAGGCCTGTAATTACAGGAACAGACGACCTAGCAAGAATGAAAGTATGCACACGACGGGCCAAAGTCGTTGACCTCGACCTACAGGTATGCAGCAGTTGATACACCTGCCCACCAGGTTGTGTAAGTTGTAGGTAAAAATTTAAACAATCTATCCAAATAAATAATTCCCCATTATGGTGAATCGTTTAAACCGGAGGTTGTCAGATTTCAAGGCTTCACCTGACAATAATAAATCAGAAATTTTCTGTCTTTATCAATGAAGCAGTGTTGAGCTTAGACCACATCTGGTTAGCCATATTCGAATGAAATCTATCCCGTATTTAACAAACAAAAACAAGATGATATTTCTACCATCGAGGCAAAAATCATGACCTTTATGTTAAGCCTAGTTATAAAAAGTTCCTCCCTTGTGCATTTGTACTCGTACTAAATTGTATGTACACTGTAATGATAAAACTGTACATATCTTTAACGTTTGGTATTGCGGCAACAGGTAATTTGGTTATTTTAGAAAGTTAACCAAATTAACTAAACTCTACAACTACCCAACAACCTAGGGCTTTCGGTAGACTCTTGACAATGCGTTTACTTCCAAAAATGAGTTTCCACACTAGGTTTTTAGAGAACAGCTTATATTTGGCACATGTTTCGACCCTACAATATTCTGGGAATATGTTGTACTACGTTGACTTTTGAAATTACTACATGTCATGAGTCAACTGAAATCCCTGTAAGCTGCCATGTCCTCCTCCCTATGAGGAAGCTTTTGTCAGCATCCTTACCCTTTCCATGTCTTTGCCACATTCACGACATCTTCCGCCATCGTTCGCAGCATTATAGGCAAAACACCCATGTACTGAAACTGCCTCCTCCCAACGTATGGCTCGTAAACGTCCAGCATCCTGCCATGAACACACGCCCCACCCTGGGGCACACAACTGACTACTGTTCCTAATATGGCCCTGCCACTGTCCACGACACGTTGCCATGTCATCATGGCCGAAAATATATCCAAACGAACTGTCTGCACAGGCTGAATCTGAAATATGAAAATAAGCAAATGAGAAGGAAGCACTTTTGAAATTCAATACTTTGATATTAAGAAATTAATTCATTCTAATGAACGTTCAAACTGCTTATGGGAATCACATAGTTCCAAATCTGAATTTATTATTATATTACCAGATTTCTTTTTAAAGGTAATTCATAAAATTGTTGAGCTGATTTGAAGAAAATAACTGAAGACTATCAACTAAGATTTTTTTTTGCTAGGTCACTAAAATAAGGTGATTTGTATTGTGCTGTTTGCCGAGTAAATAGGGATAACATGATGACAATGAGCTTCTAAAGCTACAAATAACTCAAATATTTGTATCATAACAATACGAAGCCATGAGAGAAGGGTAAACTTGAGAAGTGAATTGTATATGAATTGATCTACACAACAGTTATCACATTACGAGGGCTACAGGTACATTTTTTTGTTAGAGTACAGATACCCACATACCATGGAGCCATGGCGTTTCCAATTCCCTCGGCCTATAAATCTTACACTGTCTGAGTGAGCTGGTGGGTTTTACCCTGAGACCACACCCATCAGCTGGTCTATCCACCCTCACCAAACTGTTGTCAGTAACTATAGCAGATCCTCTAACACGGAGGCAGGGATCTGTACAGGAACACACTACACCCGAGAGGTTAGGGACTACACAATATACCTAAACCCTACTAGTCTGGGGACAGCATCGGACCCGGGGTAAAATTGACCTTTAACCTCTTGACCATTGCCTTACTGTGGCCTGACAGATCACTACAAGATACCACTTGTCTAACTAATGACACAATATGTAATTACTAAAAGGACAAATACAAGTTAAAATTTGTATCCAATCTGCAGCCTATTGCTAATTCATGTCTTGAATACCCTGTTTTGTTTTTCCTAGACCTTTTGACAATATTATTTTCATAGAGTATTTTAAGTATTGACCTTTTCATTATAAATCTATGATTATGTTTTTTACATCTGTTTTCCTATCTACTCCCTCCCTGAATACCTGACCTGTGTCTGTCCAGGTGAGTGGTGGCCAGGTTGGCATTCTTACCTGTAGGATAAGTCGTTACAGGTGGTGTTACAGGTAAGAAGTTGATGCCCTGTTGTAGGTATCAACTGTCTCTAACTTAGCATGTCGCTTGTCTTTACACAATCTTATAGGTACAAAAACATCTGTATGTGGTTTTGTCCCCATCCGAATACCGACAACCCACCTGTTCTCAGATAACACATAGTGATGCATTTCATACCTACCCCCACAATAACACACTATACGCTTGTCTAAATGCAGCTGGCTAAATCGGGATATTTGTAGTATAAAAACACTTCCTATATTTCTATTTTCCAGATTTCATGGCAGAGATCAAGTGAAGTTTCTCCAGAAATATAGATTTCAGGTATTATCTATGTGTAAGTGTCATCTGTTTTTTGTTTTTTTGTAACATGTATATTATCACTTAGCCGGGTACAAGATGTCTTCTACAAGTCTCCGCTGTTATCACTACCGGGGAAGTATAATCAATACACAGAAATTATCAAGCATGCAGTGCGGTTGTACGAAATCATCCAGCATTATTTGGAAACTAATTATCATGCATGTATTCCTGTGTCTGTATATGTGATATCTACCGTTGAAGTACCGGCCAGCCTATTTCTCGACTGCATTCCTCTCTAAAGTCACTACATTTACCAAGTTTGCTCAAAGTACTTTTACATGTTTGCAACATTTTTATGGATGATATTTTCATAATTTTGCTTTTTACTATTTTATTCAAATTATCATAGAACACATCAAATAAAATCAAAAACATCAACATTTCATAATATGTCTAAAGCAATTCAATTTGAATTTCTGAGTTAAAACGGCATTAACTCAGGTTCACTTTGAAAAAAAAGTGACATGTAAAAAATCTCGGATGACATTTTGAGTCAATTTCAAAGAAACGTCAATGGGTACAGATATAAAGTGACGATACCACGCCACAGAGAAAATACTTGATCTCATTGTTAAAGTCTGATTATATAACAAAAAAACAACCATTTTCTCATTAAAAAAGGCTTGTTGACTATGAAACATCTGCTGGGACTGTGTGAACTGTTCTTTCTCTGGGGCTGATGGTTTGGACTAATGACAACAGTCATTTCCTCTCCTCTGCACTATAGCAGGGTATGTTTAATATAGATTGGACCTAATTACGGTGCAGACATTTTTCTGTGGTTTGACAGTTGGTAATGTGGGAGATTTTCAATCACATATGAATTTGAAAAGAGAAAAATGTAATCATTGCTTCAGAGCATGTCTACGGTAAATTTAGTAGGAAATGTCCTGGTAGCCGTGTAGGTATAAAGAAATGTCCTGGTAGCCGTGTAGGTATAAAGTAATGTCCTGGTAGCCGTGTAGGTATAAAGAAATGTCCTGGTGTCCTGGTAGCCGTGTAGGTATAAAGAAATGTTCTGGTAGCCGTGTAGGTATAAAGAAATGTCCTGGTGTCCTGGTAGCCGTGTAGGTATAAAGAAATGTTCTGGTAGCCGTGTAGGTATAAAGAAATGTCCTGGTGTCCTGGTAGCCGTGTAGGTATAAAGAAATGTTCTGGTAGCCGTGTAGGTATAAAGAAATGTCCTGGTGTCCTGGTAGCCGTGTAGGTATAAAGAAATGTTCTGGTAGCCGTGTAGGTATAAAGAAATGTCCTGGTAGCCGTGTAGGTATAAAGAAGTGTCCTGGTAGCCGTGTAGGTATAAAGAAGTGTCCTGGTAGCCGTGTAGGTATAAAGAAGTGTCCTGGTAGCCGTGTAGGTATAAAGAAGTGTCCTGGTAGCCGTGTAGGTATAAAGAAGTGTCCTGGTAGCCGTGTAGGTATAAAGAAGTGTCCTGGTAGCCGTGTAGGTATAAAGAAGTGTCCTGGTAGCCGTGTAGGTATAAAGAAGTGTCCTGGTAGCCGTGTAGGTATAAAGAAGTGTCCTGGTAGCCGTGTAGGTATAAGTATGCATGACTGTATTGGGTACGATTTGTAACCACTTCAATACACCTGCTATCATATGCACTGGTAGGATTATGTTTTGTGATGTACAGTTACTCTCTAATAATTGTATATTAAATTATGCCTGGTCATTTGTAGTAAACCTTACCTTTTCTCCATGACTGCTGTGGCTGGACCGTGGCCGCAAGACTAAGAAATAACGCTGACCACGCGAGGATGTAACGCCGTCCACAAAACCCTGGGTTTACTCTCGATTGACACTCCATCATCCCTCCTAAGTATTTCCACACCTGGAACAAACGAGGAAATCCTGCATTACCTGAAGATTATGACATTGAGCAGGCTTTTCGTTGTACATAATTAGCTGTAATTACTACACCTGAACCAAATGAGGAAGTTATGCATGTGTTACTTGAATGTCTTGTATTTGGGGATCACACTTGACACCTGGAAATAACAGACAAACATGTAACCCTTGATCTATTTTGGGTATCACACCATTCCTGTGTCATCACACCAGGATATAACAGAAAAATTACCTAAACCTCACACCTAAATATTCTGGTATTTTGTGGAGGTGGTTCTTGAAAACTTGTAGTAATTAATCCATGTTGAACCTCTCCTGACAAACCTTTTTACAAAAATAACTGTACGGTAAAAGACTGCAACATTTGATAGCTTGTAAAAGATAATTCGACTCTGACCAATGTTACTAAAAAAAACAGTTGACATCTACCTCAGTGATTTATGGTAATGTACTGGTATAATGTACTGGCCAGTCAATAAAGGACACAAACATTTGTTAATTAAGTCTAAATTCTTATAGTATTGATTTGTAGTGATCGCATTACCTGCCGGCTACCTGTCAGCCTAATTAGATCTGATGAACATGCACCTGTTAATTGGTAACCCGTACACCTGTGTAATATATCACCTGTATAATACATCACCTGTGTAACCGTAGAACTTCAGCACCATGTTATTGTGTCACTGATAGGGGATCAGATAAATATCTCGCCCGGGTATCTGATCCATGTTGATCAGCCCACATACTTAATACCTACCATCTATATGTACTCAATCCTTCTTAGCTTCCTTGTTTTGCATTATTAAGATTCAAATTTGAAAGATTAGGAACCATTAGAGACAGCCTGAACAGTTTGACATCAGTGGATTGTTTTAAACATGGTAACTGACATGACGTCATGGGAGTTTGTTTGGTCAAAGCAACATCACTTAATTTTGTTGGTGGGTTTTTACAATAATGACACAATCCATTAGATTCTTAGTAGAATTATTTATACATGTTTACAAGGTTAGCTAAGAATACATTTCTTAACAGATCTAGACAAAAGGTAGGTATCCAAGGTAACCTCGTCAGGGTTTCATATCCTTCTTAGGTCATAATTCTTCATTATGTATAATGTCAGGTTGTACCTGAAGGTCTCCATGACCCAAACCACAGTCCTTAGCAATATAGTTTTGCAATCTAGCCCTTCCTTGTACCTAAAGTCTCAGCTTTTCAATGCCTCATTTCTGATCCCCAACTCCGTCCGGATTCGTACTTCCCAACCCCTACCCCCCCTACGCACCCTGGGTGTCAGTAATTTGTTCCCCCTGTGGAGCTAAGCTGACTGTTACCTGCCCACGGCTGATCACAGGTTACTTGACAAGTGTTACCTTTCCTACCCTCAAGTATTGTTCAGGGTTTAAATGTGACACAATTTTCACAGTTTTAAGACAGTAGTACGTGCTGATATTCACAAATAATTATGTATAATGTCTCAGTGTGGGCCCCCTAGTAATATCAGCAAATCCCTTACCCCACCCCTAGTAGGGAGCTGTCAATGGCTCTCGCCTCTCTGGGAGGGAGGTCTGCTGGGTACAATCCTCCTTCCTCTTACCCCATGGCTACCTAATGATGTACAGTGGCATATAAAGACTCTCACCTTGTATATTACAATAGAGCAAATAAATTATTAATGCTTTAGATTTATTCAGGTAATTAAGACATGGAAATAAATTTGCATCATTGTATGGGCGTCTAATGCCAACAATGCAGCCAGAAACCGTTAAAGTTTATACAAATATCCACTACCACTGTTTAAAACATGGTTACTTTGAATATCAATTAATTATAGCTACTAACAATACTACAAATTGCTGACAAATGGAGGCACACAGGCCTGACAGATAGATTAGGTTTTCTCCCATTCTGTTTGTTGTTAACCTCGCGGGTTTTATCTGCGAGTTTACGTGAGGTAAAACTAGACAATAGTGGGGAATTATCTGTAAAAGACGGGCCTAATACCAGGATTAGGTGGCAAATCTAAATAATGGTCACACCAATCACTAAAGAATTCGGAAATCGTGACAAATGTCAAATTCTTAAGTAAGGCATTGACCTTTTCCTTAACAGTACCTGTATGCTGGACAACTCCAAACTACAACTCTACAGTATACTGGACAACTCCAAACTACAACTCTAAAGCATACTGGACAACTCCAAACTACAACTTTATACTGGACAACTCCAAACTACAACTCTATAGTATACTGGACAACTCCAAACTACAACTTTATACTGGACAACTCCAACCTTCAACTTTATACTGTATACTGGACAACTCCAAACTTCAACTTTATACTGGACAACTCAAAACTACAACTTTATACTTAAATCCTCAAAACTACAACTTTATATTGGACAACTCCAAACTTCAACTTTATACTGGACAACTCAAAACTACAACTTTATACTGGAAAACTCCAAACTACAACTTTATACTGGACAACTCCAAACTTCAACTTTATACTGGACAACTCAAAACTTCAACTTTATATTGGACAACTCCAAACTTCAACTTTATACTGGACAACTCCAAACTACAACTTTATACTGGACAACTCCAAACTACAACTTTATACTGGACAACTCCAAACTACAACTTTATATTAGACAACTCAAAACTACAACTTTACAGTATACTGGACAGTAACTCAGACATATAAACTTCTGTAGAATTTACAAGTTTGTGTTAAATTGTAAAAGTTGTGTTAAATTATAACAATCATTTTATTATAATGCAGCAATGGACTCTATAAATACTAATTTCATGCTTTTAAAACTGTTTTTATTTTACAAAACTGAAATTATATGAGTAGTTGGAACATGATTTAAAATCTGTAGTGTTTGAACAACCTACCAGTTATAAGAAGTGATCCTTACAGTCATCATAAAGTGGATTTTACTTCAATCGCAATTTTATTTTTATAGATGAAAGGCTTATAATTGAAACTTCAACCCTTGTAATTGAATAATCGCACAAAAATCTTGACAAGCAAATATTACTTCACTTTTTTGTTTTATCTCATCATCTTTATAAATACAAACTAATTTCGTGCGACTGTATAATATCGATTTTTATATATAAACTTGACAACCACGCCGAGAGGAAAACGGAGACGGAGAGTATAACCCGAGTGTGGAGTGCGAGGAGGTGTTTATCAGAAAACGTATCAAATGTTTACCCCACGGAAGTTAAATACCACAAATCAAACCCAGCACTCCACTAAGATCTGTTATTGGATGGTGGAGAAATTCTAGAACATACAAACAACTTCAGAAAAGTCGTAATTCTTTTTAATTTTTTTCTTCATTATTTTGATTTCAATGAAAAAATTAAACCATTTGAGTTTCGGATTATAATGGTTGTTCCAAGGACAACTGTTTTTCTCTGTTTAGTCATAAATCTTTGTAGGTCTTATTATGTAGCCATATATACCTTGTTAATTTCAAAAACATCAATACAGAGGACCTTTTAATTTTATCAAAAGTTCAACCAGTTAAATAATACATTTAATTTTTTTCAGTAAGTTTCCTGTAAATATTTAGTAGTAAGATTCCTTTGACTTGCCAGAATGTGGGACCATGTTTTACACTACAGTGGAGTATATCTCCGACCTTAGGGTTGTAGACTTGATGTAGGTTCTGTGAGCCTTAGATTAACAAAAGCCCTGTGATGTCCCTAATTCCACATGAAAGAGAAAATTCTTATGAATTTAAAAATTTAGTTTACTTATTTGATGAAAGGCTGTGTTATCTGATTGAGTCTGTTACAGACACCCAGTGCAGGCAAACACTTCTAGCTTAAGTCAATACATAGCCGTCAATTGGCTGGTATCACCCGATATGACCATCCAAATCAACAAATTCAAATTCAAGTCACAGATGTTAACAAAATAACATGTTAAAGTTATACAACACCTTCACAAAAACAGGTACAAAATATTTAATAAGAAAAGCCAGCCATGCCTATCAGTGCTAGATACATTATGTAACTCTATATACTCCATATTTAGTGTGTAAACTTGTCTGCTAACACACAGAAAGTCTACTATCACTTCTGCAGAACATCCAAAACATTCTAGGTTTTTTCTTAGTTTGAAAAAAATGCTATAATAAATTTTTCATTAAATTGTGAAATCATCACCTTCACTTTAAGCTGCATGAAAATTCCCGCACATTGTACAAAATTTCTTCGTACAGTTCAACTTTGTGGCTTGAAGTTATTCTTTACTATCCCGCTAATTTTATAATATCAAAATTGAATTACGATTTTTAATAAATCATCGTTTTATGATTTTTTGACATTTTGAACACTTTTCTTTTTTTACCTCATGTGATAAATTTCTGTTCATTTTTCTGTAATGATAGCTACATAGCTGTAGTGTTATCATTAAAAGTAAAACCACATCAGGAGTTTAACGGTTAGCATTAACACCTGTGTAGGGAAATCTAAACTAGGGTCACAGGTACAAATGTCAAAGATAAACAGACACTCTGTCGTGTAAAAAGTCACCATTTCACCAGTTTGTCTTACCTTTTACTATAGATCTGCAAGTTGTAGAGACAAATTCCAGGGTTTCTGTAGAAAACTTAGAAGATTACGGCTCACAGGTGTACAATAAACTGATACAGTCACTTTCTTACATCCCAGAACACAATTCATTATAGGGTTCTATAGAAAATCCAGATAAAAATGAAATCTTATTTAAACACTGTTCCGATAAATAATCATAAAAAACAATTGTAGAAACACTTATGTGTGAAGTTGCTGTGGTCAGTAAGGTAAAATTCTACACACCATCATTATCATGATATTATCATGATATTACAGAAAATATGTTTTTTGGTAAATCCTTTTTTTTTTTTTTAAATCTTTAAAAAAATCTTCGAGAATGTTTGCACTTTAGTATTGTAGTAGCTCTGTATGCTGTAAAGCCTGGTGTCCTGTAATAGTCCTGTAGTCCAGTAATAGTCCAGTATATATGCTGTAATACAAAACACTTGTTGCCTGTTGTACAGCCCTGGTGGGTATAGGCACCGGTAAGCTATCCTCTGGGGTATCTACCTATAGCAGTATGACAGACATCAACTGTATGAATGAGCCAGTTGCTCTGTAGTAATACTGGCCCTTTACTACTGCAGGGCCGCTATCATTGGTGTAGAGTCTTACACACACTGCTGTGGATATATATAGTAGTAATACACTAGCTAGGCCTACAGTGTCGGCCCCAGTCACTGGTCAGGTGTGTGTATACCTGCTAGACAGTCCTACCTATGGCACAGAGCACTCTGTATGTCCCTGAACGGCCAGCCTGTCGTGGACAGATAATGATCACGGAGACATGCAATGCCCGTGTCCAGTTATCTGTCCCTATCCAATCCCAATAATGGAACAACAATCACTGATCGCACGCCTTATTAACCATTTACCATTCAGAACTTTTGTTAATCGGTGATAGATATGTACGGGCGAGCATACGACAAACCTCAAAACCGAGTTGATAGTGTTACCGTACCTTTAATGAAGTACGTACAGACATCAGGACAATCGCCGTGGAATCGTCTTGGAGCCAGCGTCACAATGATGTGACACCTCATATTGAGGTGTTTACGTTTTGTCAAATTTACGATCCTATCGTTAAGAAAACAACACGTTTAACAAGTACACTTAATTGTTGTCTTTAAAAAAATAATTAAAGTCATTATTTGCTGCGTCATTACTGAGCATATCGTGATTGACCTCAACGCAGGAGGAAAAAGCTTGGAATTCCTCAAAATCGGAAAACCTTTCTGTCGTACTTGTCCTATCTGCCTGTGATCATGGCAAATCATTGTTAAAGGAAGTAGTTGAGAAAAAGTTAGAAATTCTTGCCGAGCACCCAATCAGTTACTGCAGTGATATACCATGACAGGACAGCCGTAAATGTTTTAATTGGGGTCTCTCAGGTAAAACACCTCTTCTACAACTTTCTACCTGAATAAACTTCCCTATATTAGGAATTAATTTCGGCAATCATTTGGTTATGTAAGGTGTCAAGATATTTTGCACCCATATCCTTTGGCCGAAACATGTCAAATTAGCAACTTGATGACATCACAGTTATTCTTTATTGTTCGAGTCACATGACCTTTATTGTCATTGTACCATAGTTGCAAACATCATGTAACTGTGCTCTGAAGACGGCCTCCCTTTGGCCGAAACATATCCAATTAGGATGTAAATCAAACATTACATTTTGTACCGGATTCAGTGGTGTTGTTGCTCATCATTTCTATTTCCATATCAAAATAATTTAATTTTCTTGTGATAAATTCTAAAAAAGTGCAAAGACATCTGATAAAATGTTTTAAGAACAATGCATCATGATAATATAAAATGTTACCACATTAGCAGTAACGACATCTTTCATTGGTTAATAACTGTATTATTGGATGATATTCCATCCATGTGCACACATTATTTCTCACCAAAGCATGCATGTGGAGTACTCTCTAAAAGTCTCCACTGTTGTTTTAGACAAATTAGTTTTGTCAAGCGAGTAAACATGCATTGCATGAGAAAGTCTTATAATTTCCACATACACCAATATTAAATTGGCAGAACAGGAAAATTTGTTTCAGCATCCAGAAATTATGACATCAATTGTGAGCTGCTTGTTGGTGAAAAGAAAACGAGGCATCAAGTGACAAATACTTATGTGCGCAAAAGAATAGCCAAATATAAATAATTGGATGGTCTACATGTAGGTCACATTGTCCTATATGCAGCGAAGTAAATTTGAAGTACATTCAATTACATTTTCTTGTTGTAGAATAGATATAATCAACATATGTCGGTATATTATTTAAAAGGTAGAACTTCAAAAATTTCATAACAATGATTAACTCTGTCCAAAGTAAGCTTTGACAATTCTTTTTCCCATTCTTTTTCGTTGTTATATATTTAACCAAATAACATGTGTTGATTATTTCTTAAGCAAACTGTATTCTGTGGACAAATCATACAATATACTACAGATGAAGTAATATCATATGAAATAATGTACAACATAAGATGGATAAATGATAAGGGTAGTTGCTGGAGTAGTTGTTGGGGGACACCTGGTTGAGTTGTTTATGTGGCTAACGAGTAGTAGAGTCGAGGGACTGACATGTATAATTATTATAAAGACCATATAGGGAGATGATTTTATAGTACCTTATTATAGGAAATATCCACACACCCGTCACCATTATACTGTCTAATTATGTTTTATATCCCGGTCATAAAACCACCTCTGATCATTTTCCATAGATGACTTTGATTGCGGACCTTTTGTGGGAAATCTTCATCCATAGAGGAGGGTCAACATCGTAAGTGGTCCAGGTGAGACTAGCCGACAAACCCTGAATTACCTGTATGTTCCTTTCACCTTCATGCAAAATGTTACCCAGAAATGGACAATACTACAGCCTACCTGTGCATTTGTTTTACCTGTGCAAGTGATGGTATGGTTGAGTGATGATTACAGGTGTGTGTCTTTCATCACCATGCATGTAATAGGTATAGGACTTATTTGGAAATAAAACACTGTACCTGTGCATGTCTGCGACTTCTGGAAGTTATACGTTGTGCACTAATTATAGGGATTACACGTGAAACATCCATTCACCTGTGTCCACATCGTAATTACTGGAAGATAATCTAGCATATCTGTGTATGAAGTTTATCTGCACAGGTATATCATAGAGGAAACCTTAATAACAGATGGTGTAAGTGAGATGCATTATGATCACAGGCATAATTTATACTGGACAGACAATAACACCTGAAGCGAAACAAAAGCCAGGTAGAAATGTAATATAACAAACTACAGGTGCTACATCAGGTATATCACCAACAGCAAAAATTAATTTTAATTTCAATAAATTCATAACAAAATGTCATAGGTCTGTTACTTCTATAGCCTTAATTTATGATGCAAAACTTATTGGTCACATTATGCTATAAAAAGGATGTCATGCTCAATGGCCTCAACCATCCATATCTTTAGTAGCAGAACCACGTATACATCCTGACAAAAAAAATCTATTTTCCCCCTCAAGTTATGAAGTAATTTATATTCAAATCAACAAGATATGAAGCAATCAGAAATTAATATCCGGGAATGTTTTGCTACTCATCAGCATCTCAATGTAAACCTTGTATCACTAAATCTATTTACCAGCCGATGACAGGGAGAATCGTAAATAAGGCACTCTGCGTTAAAATTACAAGTAAATGAAGGTATTCTTGCGAATCATTTCACTCTGTTCAGAGGTGGTATAGAATTCTGCAAAAGTAAATAATGTGTCGAAAATGAAACCGTTGATGGATAGGAACAAATGATGGAGAGTAAGAACAGTTGTATGATACAGATTGCTGAAGTATTTCTGGCCAGGTATACAGCCAGAACAAACATGGCCGCCACCTCATCATTCCAACCTACCACTATCACCAGTGATTGTCTAATCATTTCATCAGCTTCACCGAGTGACAGCAAATTTGAAATTTCGCAGTCAATGACGAAAAAAGGATGGTGACTCCATACGTCATGAATTCTGTGATAAAATGATTAGAGAGAAAAGATGAGCACCTGATTTAAACGTTTTAGATTTGATGGTGTAATAAAGAATGCAAAAATCTTAATCATAAAAAAGTTTAAAGACTTTTTAAATAAATTCAAATTTCGCTTTTGCTATAATTGTAGGCAGTGAATAGATTTATCTCCCCTGAGTGTGGTGATAAGCTGTTGGGGAATCTCAGCACTGCTGTGACAGGTCTCGCACTGCCATGATAATGTACTTGTACATGTATACATTTAGGAGCATTAAATAGGCAGGCTTATCTCCATACTCCTCAGGCCTGAACATTCACCAGGCACTTTTCAAATGTAGGTGTGAAACGGTTGCAACTTTACATTATTTTTTGCCTCATTTGATCTTTGTCACTTTAACTCATAAAACCTTCAGGTAGATGAGGAGTAAAGATCCTCCAAGTTTGACAGAGAATGATTTATAATCCTGCAGTCTTTTGTATAAGGTAGAAACATTAGTTTGTTTAATCCTACTTTAAATATTATTTAAGCTATTTATTCCAGTTAAAACTTGTGCATCAAAAGTGGTTGGATCAATGTATCAGAATCTTCATCTGTTTTCAATAATAATAATTTCTTTAGTAAGCACATGGTATTATCTCCCTCTGAACTTTCATTACCTCCCCTTCCCTGAACTTTTATTACCCCCTCCCCTTCCCTGAACTTTTATTATCTCCCCCTGAACTTTTATTATCTCCCCCTGATTTTAATATAAAGCCATGTTAATGAATCAAATGTTTATGTGTCTAATTTTCCTGTTTTAAATTGTATAAATATTAATGCATCAACCATTCTCAATGATTTAAGTGACTTTGAGATGAAAGATGTAATATATGCAAAGTGAAGGGGGATTACTGAAACATCTGGATCATGTGACCCTGACATTTGGCATGATGTGTTCTGCTGATGTATTTTTTTGAAAGCAAGAAAAAAATGCATATGTACTCTCAAAGACATAAATAATTATCAGTTTCCAGAACATAAACTTGTACCAATACATCATCGTTTTTTGACAGCAGATAAATATCTAGTACTGGGACGAGACATGCTCTATGTGCACGGAAGCAGAATTGTTAGCTTTGTCAATATTATACAATCTTTCCACAAAAGAAAAGGATCACAAACAAAAACACCTTAAAAACATTCCAGCATGAGCTTTAATATATCAATTTGCTGTTCAAACAAGACGAACTCAACAGGAATATTATAGAGTAATTATATAAGCTGACAAAATGTCATGATTCCTAAATTTAAAGAATGGTTAGAGAGTAAATATTAACAATGAAAAAATGATGGATATCAGAACATTTAAAGCTGACAATACATAACCAAAGGTTAAAGGTAAATTGTCACTGTTGTCAATGATGAAGTATATATACAACATAAAAAACGTCACAATAAACAGGTTCTTCTGATATTGTAATTTATTCTGTACTTTTGTATTTTTATTTTCAACAGTTAAAATTTTCAGCCATTCATTTTGACGATATCTTGATTTTTCCAGTCTTATATTTTATCACCACTCGCAAATATTACCAACAACAAATTGCTCATAATGTTAAACCACTGAAAAACAAATGTTTCTCAAAGTACAATTAGTTGTGTACAGTCACTTGGTTGTCATTTTATT